ATCCCAATTTAGGTCACCAAGCAGTACGAACTCTGAGGATATATGGGGGGCAATCAATTCACATATGGTGTCCAGGGCACAGCTGGGGGCTGAGGGGGGTCTGTAGCAAGCGGCAACAGTGAGAGATTTATTTCTGGAAAGGTGGATTTTTAGAAGTAGAAGCTCAAACTGTTTGGGCACAGACCTGGATAGTATGATAGAGCTCTGCAGGCTATCTCTACAGTAGATTGCAACTCCACCCCCTTTGGCAGTTCTATCTAGATGGAAAATGTTATAGTTGGGGATGGAAATTTCAGAATTTTTGGTGGCCTTCCTAAGCCAGGATTCAGACACTGCTAGAACATCAGGGTTGGCGGAGTGTGCTAACGCAGTGAATAACTCAAACTTAGGAAGGAGGCTTCTGATATTTACGTGCAGAAAACCTAGGCTTTTACGGTTACAGAAGTCAACAAATGATAGCTCCTGGGGAGTAGGAGTGATACTGGGGGCTGCAGGGCCTGGGTTAGCCTCTACATCACCAGAGGAACAGAGGAGGACTAGAATAAGGATGCGACTAAAGGCTTTAAGAACTGGTCTTCTAGTGCGTTGGGTACATAGAATAAAGGGGGCAGTTCTCCGGGCGTTGTAGAAAAGATTCAGGGCATTATGTACAGAAAATGATATGGAAGGATATGAGTACAGTTGAGGTAAACCTAAGCGTTGGGTAACAATGAAAGAGATAGCATCACTGGAGGCACCAATTGAGCCGGTCTCGGCGTGTATGGGGGGTGGAACAAAGGAACTATTTGAGGCAGTTTGAGAGGGACTAGGGGTTCTACAGTGAAATTGTATAATAATAACTAACCCAAACAGCAATAGGCAAGGCATATTGACAAGGGAGAGAGGCATAAAGCAATCACAGGTGTTATTAGAGAGAGCTAAGACAACAACTGGTAATAGCGATAAAGTTTGGGCTGAGGCTAAACAGAATAAACAGGACAGGGTACCGTGTAAAGGAACAGTCCAGCAGGCATCAGCTGTGCAGCTGAGTGATCATAAGGTCCAGTGAACAGCAATTTGTGAGTCCGAGAGCAGTTCAAATTGGTGCTTCAGCACAGCTAGCAGGGAGCACAGTTGTAGTTTGCGTGTGCTAGCGGGCCGGGGCTGGCAGATGGATCTTCGTGGTCGTCGCAACGGGAAGCCTGTTGAAACCACATCAGACGATTTCATCGGCAAACCAGTCGTGTTGGATCGGCGGGGCTCAGTGTCAACACTAGGAGGTCCTGTCCGGTTGACAGAGAGGTAGATAGCCGGGAGATGGGCCTGAGGCTAGCTCAAGGCTAACTGGTGCTTGCTATAGGGCAATGGAAATTAGCCAACAACAGGTTGCAGCTAGCTAGCTGGTTGCGATGATCCGGCGCTAGGGTCCAGTGATTCCGGCAGAAAGTCCGATAAGCTCTGGGTCAATAGCACGCTGTGCAGACTGGCCGACGAATTGTCCAGGCTAGAGCTAGAGCTGGCTGGTGGATAGTGTAGGCCACGGACAATGGTGAAGACGCTAACGGTGACTAATAGCAAGTAGCCATTCAGTTGCAGCTACACTAGTTTCAGCTTAAGGTTCTTGATGAAAGTTATAAAGAAATAATAGAATCCTTTCCACGTTGGGTGAGGCGGGTTGCAGGAAAGTATATTTAGTTAAAGAATGAAAAGTAAAAATTGAGAAATATATACAAAATAGACAAAAAAAACAAGAAACGGGATATTTACACTAGGACAATGAATAAAACCGCGACCGCACTGCTACGCCATCTTGGAATGCTAGCTGTGAAGCATGGGGGTGGAAACATCATGCTTTGGGGCTGTTTTTCTGCAAAGGGACCAGGACGACTGATCCGTGTAAAGGAAAGAATGAATGAGGCCATGTATCGTGAGATTTTGAGTGAAAACCTCCTTCCATCAGCAAGGGCATTGAAGATGAAACGTGGCTGGGTCTTTCAGCATGACAATGATCCAACAACACCACCCGGGCAACGAAGGAGTGGCTTCGTAAGAAGCATTTCAATGTCCTGGAGTGGCCTAGCCAGTATCCAGATCTCAACCCCATAGAAAATCTTTGGAGGGAGTTGAAAGTCCGTGTTGCCCAGCGACAGCCCCAAAACATCACTGCTCTAGAGGAGATCTGCATGGAGGAATGGGCCAAAATACCAGCAACAGTGTGTGAAAACCTTGTGAAGACTTACAGAAAACGTTTGACCTGTGTCATTGCCAACAAAGGGTATATAACAAAGTATTGAGAAACTTTTGTTATTGACCAAATACTTATTTTCCACCATAATTTGCAAATAAATTCATTAAAAATCCTACAATGTGATTTTCTGGAGAAAAAAAATCTCATTTTGTCTGTCATAGTTGACGTGTACCTATGATGAAAATTACAGGCCTCTCTCATCTTTTTAAGTGGGAGAACTTGCACAATTGGTGGCTGACTAAATAATTTTTTCCCCCACTGTATGTAAAGGCATTTCGTATTTTTTTTACACAACTTTTAAGCTAAATGACATGGTGAAATGTTTTGTTGATTTCACGTTAGTTGATGACTCAACCAAATGTAAATCAAAACTAGACGTTGAACTGACGTCTGTGCCCAGTGGGAACTCTCATCTGGCTATGGCTACCTGCTGAACAGGGGGGCTTACAATACATTTCATTTTGATTGTTCAGGTTCACCATCAGCAATACTTTTGGTAGTTTTGCTTTAAAAAATCAGTGTATATGGTAATTTTTTGATATACAGGGTAAAGTTTATAATTTCATAACGAGGACAGCAATGACTTTGCAAGGTGCACTCCATGGCCAAAGCGGGAGGAGAAAATAAGCTCACTAAAAACTTCCAAACAGTCAAAACAATTTGATTTTGAGATGGGGGTGAAATCCAAAGTTGTGCTATACATTCATTGGCTATGTCATAGCTCATTTGTAAATTATAAATATTGGTACATTACTAGATCAAACACTTCATCTGCAAAAATGACATGTTAATTAATGGGTGATGGTGATTTCAGAACCAAAGTGGGGGGACAAAAAACATAGGCTACATTGCCCCCCCTAATATGATAGTGGTAGTGGGGTGGTAGATGTCTATAGTCTCCCTGATGGCTCAGATCAGGTGTCTACATACAGTAGTACATACACCATAAACATACATCATTTACACACACTCACTCACACACTTACACTCACACACACACACACACACACACTGAAGTCAGCTCAGACAGATCCAGCTCAGAGAGGCCCAGCTCATGAGCTCCATCAGCAGCCGATTTGAATTTAGAATGGAAAATGAACGTGTTTATGCAACAAATGGTGATGCATTGAATCATTTCGCATCGATTCGTTCTCTAATCAAACCGAATCACACCGAATCATTTCAAACTCAAATGTATCGTTCCTGTCTGTATTGGAGCACATGTATTTAAATACTATAAAATCGTCTTGAAAGGGAAAGATGCACATCCCTAATACCTACAGTAGAAAAGAGGAGAATATATTTTCTCTAATGTAGCCTATTTCTCAATTACACTCACTGGAGTGGAATATCTGACATAAGCTTTGAAAAAATAGGCTACTAGTGCGACAAGTGCTGCTGGTAAGCTTACTTGACTTGGACATTCATTTTTGCCAACACATGGCTAACCTTTGTTTTTTTTTGTTTTTTTATTACATACAAAAAGTTTGGACACACCTACTCATTGGTTTTTCTTAATTTGTACTATTTTCTACATTGTAGAATAATAGTGAAGACATCAAAACTATAAATTAACACATATTGTGTTAAACAAATCAAAATATATTATATATTTTAGATTCTTCAAAGTAGCCACCCTTTGCCTTGATGACAGCTTTGCACACTCTTGGCATTCTCTCAACCAGCTTCATGTGGTGCCTGAAAATGTTGCAATCTATATGGCACAGTTGTCCATTTTCTTAAATGAAACTGGTATACTTTTTTATTTTTCAAAATTTTCGTCTTTAATGCAGGGCCGACAGACAAGTTCCTTACTTTCTAACCTTTGTTTAAAGGTCCAATGCATCCGTTTTTATCTCAATGTCAAATCATTTCTAGGTAACAATTAAAACCTTACTGTGATTGTTTCAATGAAAATGAAAATAGCTTCTCAGCAAAGAGCTATTTCTCAAGCAAGAATTTTGCTAGGACTATCTGGGAGTGGGGAGGGGAAAACTAAACATTTGCTGTTATTGACCGATAGGTTTGGAACTCTTTTTTTTTGTTGGTCTATTAACTACTTTACCCCATGGAAGGTAAAAACTCCATCCCACCAAAACAGGCTGAAATGTCAGGTGGTCTTTTCAAACAGCTCTTACACTAAAAGGGCATTATCATCATTTTCACAATTTCACAGTATTATTCCAACATCATAGTGTGGAACTATATATAAAACACAGGACAATCAAGTTTTTGACTGCACTGGGCCTTTAACCATGCAGCTACACAGCTGCTCTTAGCAAAAATGTGTTTGGAATTACCTTTCTATCTAATAGGCTATGTTAATGTGAGGAGATCAAAATAATTAAAAACTGTATACCAAATCTACTTATTTTAAAAGGTTGATTACTTGCCATTATCATTCACCTGATGATAAAGCAAGATGTGAAAGAAAAAAATGTTTTGCTAACGTATGATAGGGTCCCTGGGTCGCTGGTTTGCCTTGGAGGGGGTACCTGGGAAAGAAAAGGTTGAAGACCCCTGACATATACTATGCTATTATATTCGGTTCTGTTATGTAGAATATTATCATTATGTGATCTTGCAGACATTGATTTAGCTTTTGTCTAACTTTATTAAACGAGCACCATTCACCTGAGTAGCCTGTTCTCTATGCGTAAAGTAGATTATGATTCTACAATGGGGGAGATTTGCGGGCTTGACTCTCCTTGGCTGAGCGCTCCAAAGCGTCACAATCTGTCACTGCTAAAGCAGTAGGCTACCCCCTGGTCTCTCTGTTAGTATTAAACAAGTGTGGAGCTATAAGCTGTGAAGTGTGCCTGTCATACGACTTACCTTTTTAAACACTGAACTCTAATCTACATATGAGTAAAAAGAGAACTAATCAAGCACATTCTGGAATTGCACTGCAGATCAAACTGTGGAGGACTTTTCTCACATTTTGGCACATTCAAATACTAAAGAAAGACCTTACTTGACGGAATAACTCGTTTTGCATAGAAAATATGGCAAAGATATTATTACATCTGGTGCATTTGTTATTATTTTGTAATTCCGGTATCCGGGAAGTTTTATCAGTGGAGCCATCCGACATCACGCAGCAGGACAGCGATATCGAACGGTCTACGGATCACACTTTCAAGCGCAAGAGCGCACCGCGGGACATGGTCTCAATCAATATGTTCAAACTCTATGAAAAGTACAGTAAGGAGCCCCACCGCCATCGAGACGGAAATACCGTTAAAAGTTTTAAGGCTATTCCAGGTGAGTGTTCTACATGTTTATATTTTAATGCATGATACTATAATATCAGACCTAATATGAACGTGGTGGGCTGCTGACAGCTGTAGGCAGGCTACTTTGAAATCAGCAGCTAGAGTAGCCTTGGAACCATACAAAGTGACATAAACATCATTTTGCAAGAGAAAAAAGTTATTAATAATTAAGCTGAGCTATTGCATGTGTTTTATATAAGCACCCCCATGCCCTGTCACAGTTTTGGTATAGGCTCACTGTGATCAGAGAGTATAGGCTACTGTTAATATTCATGAGATGTTAGACAAGAGCCTATTATGACACTCACTCAGACACTATTAAAGGCACATGGAAAACTCTCTTCGGTGCTCTCCTAAGCATTTCCATATGGCTGAGACCTATTCAGGGGCTATGTTTATCTTTCAAACAGTAGTGGGAGTCAAGGGATGACGTTAGGAAGATCGTTTATTGTAATCAAAATATTTTGTATTGCAATCAGTGTTATCATGCCATAATGATTGCTCTGTAGCCTATTGTATGTGATGATATTTCACCCACAGCTAATCATTCATGGCTTTTATGACATTGTGGTTGCAGAAAAGCTGTTGAAAGTAGGCTACATGTTGAAAAATAAAGTGTAAAATAACAAATGCTGTCGACATGATCATGTCTTTCTATTGTCATGTCTTTCTTTTCTTTGCAGGAGTCTCCACAAGCAATGTGTGGTTCCATTTCAACCTGTCAACCATCCAGGAGTCGGAGGTCATCCTGTCCGCCACATTCCACTTCCTCGACCAGCGTCCCCGCCACCGGCCCTGGATCTGCCGGCGCTCCCAAAATGCTTCCTGTCGCATCCAGCACCTCCAGCAGCTTTCCCCATCCCAGCTCCTCTTCCGAGGAACGTCCCCGAACTCTGTCTTTGCCTCCCCGCTGGGCAACGTCACCCTGCCCCCTCCCAGGAGAGGGTCCTGGCAGACAAGGGAAGTCTCTGCTATAGTCAAAGAGGCCCACGTCCTGGGAGAGCTCCTCATCTCTGCAGAGTTTGACTTTGGGGTTAGGGTCCAGAGGAACCAGGAGCGCCTCTCTCCAGCCAGCCTACCATATGTCCTGGTGTACGCCAACGACATGTCCATATCTGAGCCCAACAGCGTGGCCATGACCTTGCAGAGGTATGGGCCTTTCCCTTCAGGCGAGGAGCCCACCCGGTCACCCAATGCATCTCCTCCAGCCTCCAGGCTGAAAAGAGAAGCAGTGTCCCCCCTGGATCAAATACAGAACAATGACCTGCCTGAAGTCCAGTTTCACACCCTGAAGAACCATGAACTATGGGAGAGCACTTATTTTGCTCCCAAGATTAAGCCCTCAAGGAAAGATGGGCGAAAGCAGGGCCAGGACAGCAGTGAGGGGTTGAATAAGCCCCAGGTGCTGAGCTTTGATGAGAGGACCATGAAAAAGGCTCGCAGGAGACAGTGGAGTGAGCCCAGGGTCTGCGCCCGACGTTACCTGAGAGTGGACTTTGCAGACATCGGCTGGAGCGAGTGGGTGTTAGCCCCGAAAGCATTTGATTCCTACTACTGTGCAGGAACCTGCGGATTTCCTATTCCTAAGGTAAGTAAGTGTAGTGTTTTACTTCAGTGTGTCGTGTAGTATTTATTTAGTCAATAAAATGTTCCATTGTCTTGAAAATATGCTTGAAATTGCTTTAATTCATCAGATGATACTGCATACAGTGTATGCTGGTATAATACATGCCTGACAAATGTGATGTCATCCTCATACTTCCTTGTGAAAGAGAATCCCTCTTAACTCCAGCTTCTTTCCGTCTCTGGCTCCCAGGTTGTCCGGCCCTCTAACCATGCCACCATCCAGAGCATTGTGAGGGCGGTGGGAATCGTTCCCGGCATTCCGGAGCCCTGCTGTGTTCCGGACAGGATGAGCTCTCTGATTGTTCTCTTCCTGGACCCCAGCGGGAACATGGTGCTGAAGGTTTACCCCAACATGTCTGTGGAGACCTGCGCCTGCCGGTAGAACCACTCGGAAAGAGCCTCAATGCATAATGCATAAGACAGAGTACAATGAATCAGACAGAGTGGAGCAGGAGAGACATTCAGTCAATACAGTAAAAAAGAAAGACATCTTTGGATGAGACTACAATGGATGAACTCACCATGGAAGGAGATATGGATTATAGATAAGGGTTTCGGGTGGTGAGATGCAGAGAACGCTATGTCTGACACTCAGATGAGTGTGATTCACACATACGTTTCTTTGTCATTCAGCAGCTCAGCTGTAGGTGAATTGGGGACTGTATAACTAACTGTCAGTTCCAAGCCTTCAACCATCCAGAGCTGGCTCTTGATCTACACCCAAACTCCAGAGTAACTCAAATACTGGACCCTATTGCCATGTACTGCACTTAGACTATTGGACTCAAGTGGGCTTTAGATATGATAAGTCTTCATACGGCACCAGAATCAAAAGCGCAACCTCTGTAAATAATAATGTAACTAATACAACTAAATTGGACTTTTTTTGTAAATAATTGATGGAATCTTAAACTATGCTTTGCCTGTAGTTTATGCAGTGTTCACTAGTTGTTTGAATTAATCTGCCAAGATAAATGGTTAATGCATGAGAGATTGTACTATTTTAATAAATAATTCCATATCGTTTTCTGACTGTATGCATACTGTGGTCATCTTATAGGTACTCACTGTGGAATATCAAATGTAATGTTTGCATTAGTTTGAATTAGTGATCCGCTGTCATCATTTTCAAAGAAAAGGGAGATACGCAGCACATTGCTGCCACCTGCTGTTTTGAAATAGAAAACAGTAAAAAAAAAAAAAAAAGAAGCCATTTAAAGATGTTTTATTGTTTTTTTTATTTTTTGCTGAGAAGGTCATGAGAGCTTAATTTCTGGTTACTTATATACCACTAGTGCACAATTATTACATCTAACATTTTCAGCATCATACTCTATGTACAGTTGATTAATGTCAAACTACCACAAAAGTGTTGAGAATGTTGTGGTATGTAACTTCTATTCTCCCATTTATTGAATTGTGAATTGTGAATATATCATTTTTTAGGATTTGTCAGTTTTTTTATCGTTTGTGCTTAAATTGCCCAAATATTGCTTAGATTGACTGTAAACTTAAATGGAAATAAACTGAATAGAACATAAAGTAGTATGTATAATGAAAAACATGGAGATTGTGTGGGGTTGTAATCATCTTATGATGATGGCCTGAGTCCTCTTTGTGTATCATCATCTTATGATGATACACAAAGAGCATCCTACATACTTACAGTTTTAGTCAAGAAGCTAATATTAGAATTAAAGGCTGCTCCGGGAATGTTTAGGAGATAGGAATGTGTTACTCATTTAAGACTCAGATAAAGAAAGTCCCTTCATTTCCAATGCATTGGAAAATGTATGTCAGAGGATATTTCACTGGTCTTTACTCCGGGTTTTTTTGGGGGGGGAATTGCCCTGACTCAGGCCAACGTCCTCAGACACATTTGCCTCTGATGTACCCCCCACGATGACACTGGACCCTAGCCACTGTATTACATACTGGTGATGAAGAAGGTGTTCTACCCAACATAGAATTATGCAACTTGATTCATTCAGTGCTACCAATTTAACCTGTAACTAAAGTTGAAAAGTCCATTTGTTACTGTTTTTCTCTGTTGAACAAGTATGATATCTATATTTCTTATGTATCTGAAAGATCAACAGGTCTTACAATGTACAGGGTTGGGTAGGTTACTTTCTAAATGTAATCCGTTACAGTTACTAGTTACCTGTCCAACATTTTAATCAGTAATGTAACTTTTGGATTACCCAAACTCAGTAACGTAATCTGATTACTTTTAGATTACTTTCCCCTTAAGAGGCCTTAAAAGAAGACAAAAGGGATCCATCAAATGCATTTTGTGTATCATTATGGTGGTTTCTGACTTGTGGTCAGACTCGCTCAGATGGAGCAAACTTAAACTTGCACCTTTTTTCATTGCTGAATTGAATGTCATTGAGAAAACAGAAAGGTGTCATTAAGTATTTTTTCACAAACATCCTTTCTGAATTCAATAGTAATCCAATAAGTAATCATCTAGTTTTTCAAAAGTATCTGTAATCTGATTACAATATTTTTTGCTGGTAACGTAACTGATTACAGTTACAGTTTTTTAATAATCAGATTACATGTGAATCAGTTACTCCCCAACCCTGACAATGTATTTCACTGCCTCTCCGAACATATACATTTTGATTTCCATTGGCCTCAGCTTTGACCCGCGTGTGGGAAGCAAGAGCGAAGAATTTAGTAAAGTGTTTGTCAGTAGCCACACAATTTCCAGCTTCTCTCTCATTATCGCAGTGCGTCTGTGAAATGTTTACAGAATCTTCATTAACTCCAAGCCCGCTAATGATAACAAAGCCTAAAACAAGGCATCAATGGTCGAGATAAGAATGGCCGTGCTACTATTTCGGTTGACATGAGCCTACTGTTTACTCTAGAGCATGGGAGCAGACCCCAGAACTATAGCCCTAGCATAGAAGAATCTCAATTTCAACAGATTGTCACCCAAAGTCCGTTTTAAATACATAGTGGGAATTGGGAAGGTAAAACGTGTTGATTGGGAAGGATCTGATCTAAAGATGCAGTACTCAAGGCGTTTCCTCTTCCAGATGTGTCTGAGTTTGCTGGTGTCCACGGGGTCCTGTAGGTGCAAACCACTGAACGATGTCCTCCAAAGTGAAGATCCCGAGGGCTTCTCTGGGACTTCTGAGCAGGACCTGGTCGAAGAGGAGGACAGGTTACAGAGCTTTCTGGGAACCATGAAGGAAGAGTTTCTGAGGAAACTCAACTTATCAGATGTCCCACAAGAGCACAGCAAGATATACCCACCGCCGTTCATGATTGAACTGTACAACAAGTATGCCTCTGACACGTCCTCTATGCCTCGTTCTGATGTCATCCGCAGCTTCACCGTTCAAGGTATGTACATAGGCATGTCAAACATTAATTTTATGGTTTTATCAATGATCACAACATTTACATATGTAGACACTGTAATAGGTTAGTACTGTATGCTTATTAAGCCTGTGCGCCTCTAAGGCTATTGATACAAATAAGTGATATCAAATATGAAACTATGTATACCTTTTGCCTACTTTTGCAGATGTCAGTCACTCTGAAAAAAATGGCACCAAGTCAAAACACAGACTTCTGTTCAATGTAACTGTCCCAAATCACGAAGAGGTCACCATGGCGGAACTCAGGCTGTTCACCCTGCTGGATAATAGGACAACATCAACCTCTACCAATCGGATCGGGGCTTCCATAAAGATCTATGAAGTGGAGTATAAAGGAAACAAGGCCACAGCCCACCTTGTGGATGGGAAAGAGGTCATTGGGACCCATCACTCTTGGGAAGCTTTTGATGTGACCACTGCCATCCAGAGTTGGGTCAAATCGGTCCGTGGGGCCAGTGAGTTTGAAGTGGTGGTCGACAGGTGGGACTGTGGGCCTTTCAAAGGTGGAGGTTTGGATGTGGGTGTGGGTGTGAGGGATAACACATCAGCTGCTTTGATCGTCTTCTCTGACGACCTGGGGAGCAGGAAGAGAGAGGCCAAGAAGGAGCTGAGGGAGATGATAGTTCATGAGGAAGAGACGCTCTTTTCAGGGAGCGACTGGCAAGGGACCGACTACAATGAGATCCCCGTGGACTTACACCCCAGGCGGAAGAGGCAGGCGGACACCAACTACTGCCGACGGACCTCCATGCGCGTCAACTTCAAAGATATCGGCTGGGACCAGTGGATCGTAGCGCCCCCTGAGTATGACGCCTTTGAATGTAGAGGGGTGTGCTATTACCCCCTGACTGACGACATGACCCCTTCCAAACACGCTCTCATCCAAACCCTGGTCAATCTCAAGAACCCCAAAAAAGCCAACATGGCGTGTTGCGTTCCCACAAAACTGGACCCCATCACGGTCATGTACCAGGAGAATGGTGTCATCACTGTACGACACCTGTACGAGGAGATGAAGGTGGCAGAGTGTGGCTGTAGGTAGTGAGAGGTAACAGCCATGGTTATCCCCTTTAGCCCTTACTGTAAATCTGTACATTCCTGTTGTAAGATGCATTTTAGTTATTTTATTTAGTATATGTTCAACAAATGCACAGTCTGTCTAGAATTGCAATAAAGCCTATAATACAATATTTATAAATTATTTATGAGCGTTATCATTATTTTTGTTAGGGTTTTAGAAAACAAAAGAGATCATAAATTGGATCTACAGATGTAGGATCTTAATTAGATGTGCATGCAAAGCAATACACAACTCTAGATTTCTTACATACTCATATTATTATTATTATTATTAGATTTATTCTGCTCGCTCTAGCGCTTAAACGACCTAAGCTATTAACACGAAACCAACGTCCAAATGTGCAGACTGCCCCAAAAATATTTCTGATATTATTTATACTTTTTGTACTACAACGATATTTAAATGAGCTCCAAATGCATTTCAATGGCAATAAAAGTGCCATAGATTTCCATGTTGAAATTTGGGCGTGTAGCTCCTCGTACACCATTTAAGCTATCAACACCAAACCAACGTTGAGATGTTCACTGACGCAACTTCAATTGCTTGTGTTTATAATTTTGATCACATTTTGAACTAAACCATTTAAAATGTTAATAAAAGCTCCATAGGCTTGAATGGGAAGTATTTGGATTCGCCACTGCTCTTACACCGTTTAAGCTATCAACGCCAAACTAACATTGAGATGTTCAGACTGACCCAATTTAGATAGATTGAATTCAGATTTTTTATCATATTAAACATTTTTGAAGTATAACCATTTTAAATTTGCATAAATTAACATGGGTTTGAATTAGATCCACAGTAATACAGTGGTAACTATTTAAAATGGTCCTACTCTTTGGCCAATTAAGCTATAAGACCAACTTTAAAACATTCAGGCTATTCTAACTTCAAATTCTTTAAGATCTTTATCAACTATAACTATATACATTTGCATCAAATTGAATAAAATAACTCACCAATAGTACATCTTCAACCATTCAAGATAAAGACAACAACAACTTTTACATGTTCAGGCTATCCTGACTTCCAATTCTTAAAAACATTGATCAATTATAATCACATGAATATGCATTCATTTGCATAAAATAACTCACAAACATTAACTCTTGAACTGTTCAAGCTAGAGACACCAAACCAACTTTTACATGTTCAGGCTATCCTAACTTCCAATTCTTAAAGACGTTTATAAATTATAATCATAATAATTTGCATAAATTCGCATAAAATAATGAACCAACAGTAACTCTTGAACCGTTCGAGCTAGAGACACCACACCATCTTTCACATGTTGAGGCTATCCTAACATCAAATTCTTAAAAACTTTTATCAACTATAATGGTAAAAATGTACATACATTTGCATAAATAACTCACCAACAGTAACTCTTGAACTGTTCAAGCTAGAGACATCAAACCAACTTTCACATGCGCAGGCTATCCTAACGTCCAATTCTTTATAAATTCACACATTTGCATAACATAACTCACCAACAGTAATTCCTAAACCATGCAAGCTAGAGACACCAAACCAACTTTCACATGCGCAGGCTATCCTAACGTCCAATTCTTTATAAATTCACACATTTGCATAACATAACTCACCAACAGTAACTCCTGAACGTTCAAGCTAGACACCAAACCAACTTTCTCATGTTCATGCTATCCAAACTTCTAATTCTTAAACACTTTCATCAACTATAATTATACACATTTTCAAAAAAATAACTCACCAATAGTAACTCTTAAACCGTTCAAGCTGGAGACATCAAACCAACTTTCACATTTCCAGGCTATCCTAATTTCAGATTCTTCAAAACTGTAATCAACTATAACTATATAAATTAGCATAAATGTGCAAAAAATAACCCACTAACACTAACTCTTGAACCGTTCCAGTTAGAGGCACCAAACCAACTTCCACGTGTTTGGCCAATCCTAATTTCAGATACCTGAAAACCTGTATCAACTATAATGATAGAAGTTTACATACATTTGCATAAATAACTCAACAACATTAACTCTTGAACCGTTCAAGCTAGAGACACCAAACCAACTTTCTCATGTTCAGGCTATCCTATCAATCAATCGATCCTTCACCAGCTAGCATGCACATCACATTTTCTTCAGGAAATATACTTTTCTAGTTTGATCACTCTTTTGTTGCTGAGGATTTTCCTGCACAGCAGGAAATGCATACTTGTAGTGTATTTGAGTGTTTAAAAGGCTTCTAAAGTTTGTAATTTCCACTTTGACATTTCACACTTGATTTGCCCTAATGAAAAATGTATCAACCCGTACAAAAATATCCATTAACTATAATCCACATAATTCACATTTCTTGTTGCTGCAGGATTATTTTCCTGCTGTAGCAAACTGGCTCAAATTAAGATCCTACATCTGTATTAAGTATGTGTGCATCTATAGTTTGATATCTATAACAAAAGTATCATGATATCTAAAGAGTTTGTACATAGTGTTGTTTATTTATCAGTTGGCTATGAGGATTATCTTGCTCTACATGTTTATGGTATTAGAATTTTAAAGTATTTTTTATAACAGGACATTTCTGATTATGACTTCTAAATTATTGCTTTGAATTAAATATGGATTGTTCTAATTAGTTTCATATTATAATCAGAGACTGTGGATTATAGGTAAAGGTTGCACTATTACATAAAAGTGCATTTATGTGCTGCAGTTGTACTACTATATGAATATTCAATGTGAATTTATAAAGTTCAACTTTTGGGGAAGTTCTTCTTTGAATTATGTGTAAAGAGCACACTCTACAGGTGGACAATAAACAGTTGTCTCAACACATTCATAAAACGTTGAGTGTATTTTTGTGACTGTATTCATTTGAATGTATAATTGTTCTATAAAGTAAAGAATTGGTTCGAATTGATTATTTATTTCATATATATATATATATATCACACTCCATTCATTTTCTGTTCTTTTGACTATCTTTGTAATTATTCAACGCAAATACTGCACACACATCTTAATAAGTACATGTTGATGAAAACAGTATGAAAATGTATGCACTCACTAACTGTAAGTTGCTCTGGATAAGAGTGTCTGCTAAATGACTAAAATGTAAAATGCTGATCTCAAAATATCAAAACCAGACCATATTTCAGTTGTGAACATGTCACACATTAAGCAATACCATCGAGGTAGATAAAGGACTCTAGTGCCCAAAAGCCTGTTTTTGTGAGGACAGACGCTGGGAGACGAGAAGCAGGTACAGGGAGTGAATATTAAATATATACAGACATGGAACAAAACACGGACAGCGTCTGGACAGGGGAAACATAACGACATTAATGCTGACACGGGGATCACAACTGAGGAACAGACAGATATAGGAGAGGTAATTAAACAGTGATGAAGTCCAGGTGAGTCCAATGAAGCGCAGATGCGCGTAACGATGGTGACAGGTTTGCGTAATGATGGGCAGCCTGGCGCCCTCGAGCACCAGGGAGGGGGAGCGGGAGCAGGCGTGACTGTTTTAGTATGGGCAGCACCATTCAAGACTTTCACCTTTTTGAAGTAGTCAACTAGGTGGGACTTCCTATGGGTTAAGGAAGGATCACATAATTCCATCCAGGTCACCAGGAGGGATCAGCCAATGAATTATACTCATGAGCAAACGTTCCATAATTGCAGGTGACAGTAAATCGCCAACCTTAGCTTTATACCTGTTCAAACAACACACTCCAGGTGCCATTATGCACCCTTTCTGTTTGTTTGCCAACTCATAGAAGTAGTAGAAGAAGAAAATGGACTACTTCAAAATGGCACTGCCCGTGATCTTACAAACGCCATAATGGGAAAGACACAATGATGCGATGTCTATCTATGATCAATACACATCAATGTATTCTAATCAGAGGTGATGGTTCCCCTCCTAATGAAGTGTTTGTCAGGAGGGGATGAACAAGTCTAGATGTAGACACTTACATCACCGTTTCACAATAAAAACAAATATAGCCCAGTCTTAATATACCACCTTTCCATTAAAACACTACGTGACGTCTGATTTTTGCCTAATTAACCGAGACCACAATTGCCTAAATTAGTTCCTCCCCCTGATGACGTCCACTACATATTAGTGCCAAACATGCCCTCTTAAACGACACAGTGAACCATGCACCGGGAGTGGATTCCAGGTCCTGATTGGTCACGAAGAATCGCCAGACAGGCTTATGTAAGACTGGGTATTAGAAGTTAAAGTGAGATTAACGGTACACACTGTGCTGCAGCATTAGATGATATGTAGTTATGTAATTATGTGTAAAAATTCCCAGTGTTGTAAGGCTTGTATTTGAATGCATTTTAATTTCAGTTTTGAACTCACTCAACCTTAAATTATATTCAACATTGATAAATGAACACAGTGCAAATGTCACTAAAATCGGGGAGTGAAAATCTGGATGCAAACATGCAATGTAAATGGTGAATATATACTGTAAGTATTTTCAAACTAATGGAAGTCCATGTTCATGTTTATAATCACTGCTGCTAAATCTTTGGTTTTCATCCTGAATCTTGTGTTCAAGGTGGCTTATCACATGTACACACGTGAACACAAACTGTGTAATAATCTCATCCACTCGCCCCAGACATGACCTCACAAAGCCTGACCCTTATATCCACCTGGTCGAATCACAATGCCTCACGTGATTGTGAGTTTCACGTGGGGCTTTCATACTAATCAGGTAGCATTTCACCTCTATAAGCTTCTCTAATCTATTTTCTCTATCTCATCCTTTTTTTTTTCAAGAGAATGTGCATGACATGGTAGAGCATATCATAGAAATTCTAATAAGGAATATGGGATGCAAAGGTTTTTTTGATTTGATTTGATGCCCAAAACTAAATACATCCAGACAGAAGCCTCTTTCTTTAGAGTAATAAAACACATTAAATATAGGTAAAAGTGGAAAAGGTACACTCAAATAATCCTGTGGCATACCCAAATACCTACATTATCTCCAATTTGAGAATTTTTGGTCTGTTATTGTCTGGCGGATGCACCACAGATAATACGATTAAAGGTTTATTGGGAACAAAAGCTTCTTATGTCGTTGTTGTTGTTGTCTGAAACCTGCCGGTGAAAACATTCTCTCCTAACAAAGGACTGTCCCTCCGAATGAATGGACCAAAAAGCAGGATAACGCAGATCAAATATAACATTCTCCACAATAATGGCAGTAGGTCGGTTATCACAAGCGTTGCTGGTGCTTTTTTGCCATGTTCTCTACTCCAGCTCTTCCTTCCAGCCAGCTCTGGTGCTGGATATGGCGAAAATTCTACTCGACAACTACTGCTTCCCTGAGAATCTGGTCGGCATGCAGGAGGCCATTCAGCAAGCCATCAACAGTGGAGAAATCCTCAAAATATCTGACCGAAAGACCTTGGCATCTGTGCTGACGGTTGGCGTGCAGGGTACACTCAATGACCCTCGGCTGACTGTGTCCTTCTAGCCAAACTTTGTCCCAGTGATGCCGCCTGCTCTCCCATCTCTCCCCACGGAGCAGCTCATCCGTCTGGTCAGAAACTCTGTGAAGCTGGAGGTCCTTAAGAACAACGTGGGCTACCTGAGGATCGACCACATTATAGGGAAGGAGACCGCCGCCAAGCTTGGCCTGCCACCCTGGGACAACATCTGGAACAAGGTCACCCACGCCTCCTCATTATTCTTTGATCTGCGCTACAGCACAGCTGGGGAGCTGTCCGGAGTCCCTTTCATCATCTCCTACTTCTCCGACCCAGAACCCCGTATTCACATTGACACTGTGTTCGATCGACCCTCTAACACCACTAAGGAGCTGTGGACTATGTCATCTATCATGGGAGAGAGGTATGGAAAGCAAAAGGACCTCATCATATTAACCAGTAAGCATACTTTTGGAGCGGCTGAGGCAATCGCCTACACTCTGAAGCATTTGAATAGGGCTATCATTGTTGGAGAGAGGTCAGCTGGGGGGTGTCACGATCGTTGACACATGATGAGGACCAAGGCGCAGCGTGAGAAACAAACATGACTTTAATTAGTTAAAGTTTCTAAACAAAACAAAACACGACTCGTGAAGTCCACGGTGACAATGACCGAACACAGAACAAAAACCCACAAACCCAAAGTGAAACACAGACAGTTAAATATGGCTCCCAATCAGAGACAACCAGCAAACAGCTGACACTCGTTGCCTCTGATTGGGAGTCACTCAGTCAAACATAGAAAATGACGAACTAGAACACCCAACATAGAAACAGAACACATAGAATGAACACACCCTGGCTCAACATAATGAGTCCCAGAGCCAGGGTGTGACAGTACCCCCCCCCTAAAGGCGCGGACTGCGACCGCGCCTCAACTAAACAAAACAGGGGAGGGCTGGGCGGGCATACCTCCTCGGCGGCGGTTCTGGCTCCGGCCTTGACCACCACCCTCCAATACACCCCCCATAGTGCCCCTGGTCCAGTCTGTCGACTTGCATCCCTGGCTTGGTGCGTGGAGGAGGAACGGGCCTTACCAGGCTGACTTCTCGCACCCCTGGCTTAGTGCGAGTGGCAGGAACAGGCCGGACCGGGCTGGCGACGCGCACCGTAGGTTTGGTGCGAGTGGCAGGAACAGGCCGGGTCGGGCTGGCGACGCGCACCGTAGGTTTGGTGCGGGTGGCAGGAACAGGCCGGGTCGGGCTGGCGACGCGCACCGTAGACTTGGTGCGGGTGGCAGGAACAGGCCGGACCGGGCTGGCGACGCGCACCGTAGGTTTAGTGCGTGGAGCAGGGACAGGCCGGGCTGGGCTGTCGACGCACACCGTAGGCTTGGTGCGTGGAGCAGGGACAGGCCGGGCTGGGCTGTCGACGCACACCGTAGGCTTGGTGCGGGTGGCAGGAACAGGCCGGACCGGGCTGGCGACGCGCACCGTAGGTTTAGTGCGTGGAGCAGGGACAGGCCGGGCTGGGCTGTCGACGCACACCGTAGGCTTGGTGCGTGGAGCAGGGACAGGCCGGGCTGGGCTGTCGACGCACACCGTAGGCTTGGTGCGGGTGGCAGGAACAGGCCGGGCTGGGCTGTCGACGCACACCGTAGGCTTGGTGCGTGGAGCAGGGACAGGCCGGGCTGGGCTGTCGACGCACACCGTAGGCTTGGTGCGTGGAGCAGGGACAGGCCGGACCGGGCTGGCGACGCACACCGTAGGCTTGGTGCGTGGAGCAGGGACAGGCCGGACTGGGCTGGCGACGCACACCGTAGGCTTGGTGCGTGGAGCAGGGACAGGCCGAACCGGGCTGTGGAGACGGATAGGAGGCCTGGAGTGAATAGCGGCCACCATCCTGGCTGAATGCCTACCCTCACACACTCTGTGTGAGGCATCCGCACAGGACGTACAGGGCGGTGTACCCCTGGCCTGGTGGCCTTCTGGATCCGCCCCCTCTTCTCCTCCGTCAGCCCCGTCGTCCATGCCATGTGCCCCCCCCTAAAAATTTTCTGGGGTTGCCTCACGACCGTCCGACGACGACCCTAATCACGCCGTAGCTCCTCTCTACGGCGCGCCTCCACCGTCTCACTCCATGGCCGGCGATCCATCCCGGCCAGGATTTCCTCCCAGGTCCAGGACCCCTGCCCGTCCAAGATCTGCTCCCACGTCTAGGCTGCCTGCTCCTGGACACGCTGCTTGGTCTTGGTATGGTGGGTTTTTCTGTCACGATCGTTGACACATGATGAGGACCAAGGCGCAGCGTGAGAAACAAACATGACTTTAATTAGTTAAAGTTTCTAAACAAAACAAAACACGACTCGTGAAGTCCACGGTGACAATGACCGAACACGGAACAAAAACCCACAAACCCAAAGTGAAACACAGACAGTTAAATATGGCTCCCAATCAGAGACAACCAGCAAACAGCTGACACTCGTTGCCTCTGATTGGGAGTCACTCAGTCAAACATAGAAAATGACGAACTAGAACACCCAACATAGAAACAGAACACATAGAATGAACACACCCTGGCTCAACATAATGAGTCCCAGAGCCAGGGTGTGACAGGGGGTCAGTGAAAGTGCAGAAGATAAGAATAGGAGATTCTGGTTTCTACATCACAGTTCCAGTGGCCAGGTCAGAGAGTGGAGGGTAGCTTAGTGGTTAAGAGCGTTGTGCCAGTAACCGAAAGGTTGCTGGTTCTAAACCCCGAGCCGACTAGGTGAAAAATCTGTCGATGTGCCCTTGAGCAAGGCACTTAACCCTAATTGCTCCTGTAAGTCGCTCTGGATAAGAGCGTCTGCTAAATGACTAAAATGTAAAATGAGTATCTCCCTCTGTAAATATCAATGTCAAGGAGGCTGTTGCCAATGCCAAAAATCTACTGGCTGTCAGGAGTGCCATTCCAAACGCCGTCCAGAGCGTCTCTGACATCATCAGGCAGTACTACTCATTCACAGACAAAGTACCGGCTCTCCTTCAACATCTGTAATCCACAGATTTATTTTCTGTCATTTCAGAGGAGGACCTGGCGAATAAAATCAACTACGAACTACAGACTGTGTCAGAGGACCCTCGTCTGATGGTCAAACTGACCCAAGATCACCCAGTTATCATTGAGGAAGACTTTGAACCTGAGAACATACCAGACAATCCAGCATTTCTCAGGAACCTGGTGGATACAGTCTTCAAAGTACGCATCTTAACTGGAAACACTGGTTATCTCCGCTTCGACAAGTTTGGAGATGTGTCAGTGATGGCCAACTTAGGAGAGCAGATTGCCCAAAAAAATCTAGGAGCCCCTTAAAAACACAGAGAACCTCATCATCGATCTGCGATACAACACAGGTGGGTCCTCAGCTTCCATGGGCATTCTGCTCTCCTTCCTCCAAGACCCGTCACAACAGTTCCACTTCTTCACCATATATGACAGGATCCAGAACACCACCACTGAGTTTAATATTCTTTCCGGCCTCCCAGGCCCACCCTATGGGTCTAAACGCGGAGTGTACATCCTGACTAGTTACTACACTGCCGGTGCTGGGGAGGAATTTGCTTATCTGATGCAGTCACTGCACCGTGGCACCCTCATCGGGGAAATCACATCCGGGACATTGTCATCACCGTCCCCTTCATAAACATCATAGATAACAACAGGGAATGCTGGCTAGGTGGAGGCGTGGTCCCTGACGCCATAGTGCTTGCTGAGGAGGCCGTTGACCACACCCATGAGATCATAGAGTTTCACAGGGAGGTTTGCTCACTGGTGGAGGGGACGGGAGAGCTCCTGGAAATACACTACGCCATCCCTGAGGTCGCCAACAAGGTCAGCAGAGTGCTGCTCATTAAATGGGTTGAGGGCTCGTATCGATCGGTGGTGGTGTCATCCCAGCTGACAGCTGACCTCCAGGAGACGTCAGGCGACCACCGGCTGCACATATTCTACTGCGACGTCGAACCCGAGTGTCTGCATGACATGCCAAAAATCCCGACAGCTGAGGAGGTGGGTTACATCATTGACGCGCTGTTCAAGATCGAGGTGATGCCCGGGAACGTGGGATACTTCAGGTTCGACATGATGGCAGACATAGAAGTGATGAGAGCCATCGGCCCTCAGCTGATTAAACTGGTGTGGAGCAAGCTGGTGAACACGGACACAATGATCATCGACATGAGATACAACACAGGTGTTAACACCACAGCCATCCCACTCCTCTGTACCTACTTCTTCGATGCTGAGCCCCTGAGGCACCTCTACACCGTCTTTGACCGCTCCACAACCACCATGACCAAGGTCATGACCCTGCCTCAGATCCAGGGTCAGAGGTACGGCTCCACCAAGGATATCTACATCCTCACTAGTCACATGATGGGGTCGGCTGCCGAGGCGTTCACGCGGACCATGAAGGACCTTAACAGGGTGACGTGATCGGGGAGCCGACCATCGGAGGGTCCCTGTCCAGTGCCACCTACCAGATATGCCTCCATACCTAACCAGGTGGTCCTGAGTGATGTTACTGGAAAGGTGTGAAGTGTCTCCGGGGTCGAGCCACACGTTGCTGCCCAGGCAAATGAAGGGGAAATAGTTGTCATGTTATTGTTTCTCTTTCCTTTAAATGTTTACTTTGTTTGTCCTGTATTTGTGAATTATATTTTTTGTTGTGTGTAATTTTAACAGAAATATTATTTATTAATTATTATTATTTTTATATTATATTTATATTTATTAATTATTTTTCTGAACTCTGACTTATCTGTGGTATAACATAACCACCCCGAAGCTTGTAAAAAAAAAAAACAACAATAAGGTTGACAGAAAACAGGAAAACTATTTTGGTTATCTTTTTGAAAGTCTTAAGGCACCTTTTGAAAGATTTATTTTTGCACATGATTATAAAATTATGTAATAAACAGATCCCTGACTGTTGCAGGTCTGGAATGAAATGAGTTGCCTTCGATGAATTTGACTAAAACTCCTGTGTGTCATTTTGTATGAGAAATTTGATTAGATTTACAAATAAATCCTCTTGTTCATATTTTATGAATATTTTTGTCTCTCTTTGATGTAGCTAACTCGCTGGGCTACATGTGTGTTGGCTTAAATATGTGTGAGGAGAAAGGGTTGATATTTCATTTCATTATACTATCATCATGTATGTAATTTGATTCATGAAAATACTTTATACTTCTATATTAATCTGTTAATGCATTTGTTATTTGTCCTTTTTGTCATTTGTCAAGTCATGTAATTTGTCATGTTGCGAGTAAAACATAATATTGCCATAATGTAGAAGAGTCTTCAGCCAGTCAGTAGAGGGAGCAGTACCCATACAAACTGGTAGTGAACTACTGTACTCCATTCTCCTACTGTGTAATAGCATCAATAAAATCCATATCAACTGATTGTGAATAGTGTCATGACCAAATAGAGGTCATATAGCTTCAGAAGAGGAAACACCCATTATCTATTTTACACTGGTGTAGTAGGTTGAATCTAACTGAATGGCAAATGTTATTGCTTGCCTGTAAGTTTTCTTCCATTTCTAATCAACACTTGTTGAATAAACTGTTGAATAAACCTGTGAGTTATTATTACCTGAGATGGAACTATTCAGAGTTCAATGTGATATTTATAGACCATAATGCTTAGGGTCAGCCAACGGCACATTAAGAGAGGGGAGGGGGGTAGATGACTTTTAAAATTCTAAGTTCTTTGTATAATGCTGATTGATCATGTGCAGCATGAGTGAGAGATTATAAGCCTAAGTATGGTATAAGGACCTTTTGTCAAAATATACAGTTACAGGTAACATTACACTTCACATCAACTTGCTGACCAACAGAAAGCCTAATTTGAAGGTACAAAAAAATAATTTATTAATTTAGTTTATTAATTTAATTTATTAATTAACGCTGATCTTCAATCAGTGAGCCTTATTCATCAAATGAAAAATATGCACAACACATACAGTGATCTGAATATTTCTACCAAGCATAATCTTGTGTCTGATATCTGTGCCTAGTCAAACCTTACCTCACACGCAAAGCAACAAATATATATTTATCATCTACATCTTGGGCAACATGTTGCACCTACATTGTTGCCTTGTTATTGTCTTACCGAAGCACTCAAGATAATACGATTAAAGGTTTATGTTGAGGAAAATCCTCTTATGTGTGTGTTAACAGAAACCTTTCAGGAGGAACAGTCTCATTTGACCAAGGACCACTTTGCAGACGGACATTCCACCGCAGAGCGGCTACTACTGTGGTTTACTGCTATCTAGAAACCCACCAAGATGGCAAGGTATCTCCTCTTGTTGGCATCGGTGCTGGTCCTCAGCAATGTTGCTGTCCACAGCACTTTCGCACCCGACCTGATTATCAGCATGGCTAAAATTCTCCTGGACAACTACTGCTCCCCGGAGAAACTGACTGGCATGCAGGAGGCCATTGACGCTGCGAGCAGCAACACAGAGATCCTCAGCATTCCCGACCCTGACACTCTCGCCTCCGTCCTGACCGGCGGGGTCCAGAGCACCATCAATGACCCCCGGCTGGTCATCTCCCATGAGCCCAACTACATTCCTGCAGTGGCCCCTGCCCTGCCACCCCTGCCCCCGGACCAGCTCATCGGTGTGCTCCAGAGCTCCATTAAGCTGGAGGTCCTGGAGGGCAACATCGGCTACCTGAGGATCGACCACATCATCGGGGAGGAGTTGGCCGACAAGATTGGCACCCTCCTTCTGGAGCTGGTCTGGAACAAGATCCTGCCCACGTCCGCTCTGATCTTTGACCTCCGCTACACAGGCAGCGGGGATCTGTCGGGTATCCCATACATTGTGTCTTATTTCACTGACGCCGAACCTCTGATTCACATCGACAGTGTGTATGACCGTCCCACTGACACCACCACCAAGCTGTGGTCCATGCCCACACTGCTGGGCGAGAGGTACGGAACCAAGAAGCCTCTCGTCATCCTGACCAGTGCAAACACCAAGGGAATTGCAGAGGACGTTGCCTATTGTCTGAAGAACCTCAAGAGGGCCACCATCGTCGGGGAGAAAACCGCTGGCGGGTCTGTGAAAATCGATAAGATCAAGGTTGGGGACACCGACTTCTATGTCACAGTGCCCTCGGCTAAGTCCATCAACCCCATCACAGGGAAGTCCTGGGAGGTCACCGGCGTGATGCCTGATGTTGAGGTCGATGCTGAAGATGCCCTGGCCGCTGCCATTAAGATCATTAACCTCCGTGCCGAGATCCCTGCCATTCTTGAGGCTACTGGCGCTCTGGTGGCCGACAACTACGCCTTTGAGAATGTCGGAGCGGACGTTGCGGAGAAGCTGGCGGCAGCGAGCAGTGACTACAACATGATATCTTCAAAGGTGGAGCTGGAGACTAAACTCTCCGCTGACCTCATGACACTGTCCGGAGACAAGTGCCTGAAGACCACCCATAACATCCCAGCCCTGCCACCAATGGTAAGAAATTAATGTTGTATTGTAGCCTATGTAATACATTTAGCTATTGAGAATTATTTTAAGTGAATCCAGAGAGCAACTTTTTTTAAATGAATATTTTCCTGAAATAATTGTCTGTTGAATTCAGTAGAACTACAGTAGAATAACATTGCTTATCAATTATGGGGAATATTTTTGAGACATGTATGTTTATTTCAGAACCCATCTCCAGAGATGTTTATTGAGCTGATCAAGGTTTCCTTCCACACGGATCTGTTTGAGAACAACATTGGCTACCTGCGCTTTGACATGTTTGGTGACTTCGAGGAGGTTCAGGCCATTGCCCAGATCATCGTGGAGCATGTGTGGAACAAAGTTGTTAACACTGATGCTCTGATTGTTGATCTCAGGTAGGACTTCTCTTCATAGTGAAAATCAAAGCTCAAATTATGAGCATAGCAACATATTTATGTTCACTAAGATGAACAGAGTTAGAGAGTGGATTACCATTTAGTTGGAGTAAATGGGGCCAGTTGAACCATAGGGAAACATTTTATTTCCAAAATGTTTATCTTTCATATTGAATGAGTTTGAAAAATTGTTTTTGCAGGAACAACGTGGGCGGACCCACCACTGCCATTGCAGGCTTCTGCTCCTACTTCTTTGATGCAGACAAGCAGGTCTTGCTGGACAAACTGTATGACAGACCCTCTGGCACCACTAAGGAGCTGTGGTCTCTGCCTGAGCTCACTGGTAATAAACTTCCCAGTTTCATGACGTGTAGGCTACTGTATAATGAGTTTATCGATTTGGCTAAAGCAGAATAAAATTGTGGGCTGTCAGCAGAATAAAAAATGTCAGGTATAAAAATGACTCGTCTTCTCTCTCAGGTGCAAGGTACGGCACCAAGAAGAGCCTGATCATCCTGACCAGCGGGGCCACGGCCGGCGCCGCCGAGGAGTTCGTCTACATCATGAAGAAGCATGGCCGGGCCATGATCGTGGGCGAGACCACCAACGGCGCCTCCCACCCCCCTGAGACCTTCCGTGTGGGCGAGAGTGAATTGTTCCTGAGCATTCCCACCACCCATTCAGACACAGCCCAGGGCCCCGCCTGGGAGGGGGCCGGGGTCACCCCTCACATCCCTGTGCCAGCCGACGCAGCCCTGGACACCGCCAAGGGCATCCTCAACAAGCACTTCGCCGGCACAAAGAAGTGAACTCCCTGACCGGGGATGTTGGCAGCCAAAGGGGTTTAGGATCTTACGTTCTCAGAGGAACTAAGTATTTAGGGTACAGTTCAATGCACTTCATTGACCACTTATAGGGAGCCAGCCTCTGCACCTAAGCCTTCTTTCTGTAGCCTGTTGTAGTGTTCTCATTTTGCAAGAATATGCGAGAGATTCTGAACAGGATTGTGTTGGTTTTTACTTATAGTTTTTACTTCTGAAAACTACTGTGATTGTAGAAGGATTTAAGAAAGTGTGAGTGATTTTAAATGCTATACTGAAATGTGACTCTTAAAGAAGTGGTTCATAAACTATGGATGTGTTTGTGTTACTGATCCACTAGCCCTTGGCCTTGGGGCATATGATTTGTCAAAGCAGCTTCTATTTTTGGCTGTCAAAAATAATGTGAATTGTAAATTGTGCAAGAACATGAAAGCTGAAACTAGCTTAAAAAGGTGTATTGAATCAAATGCTGAAACATATTTGTGTTTCCTATGATATTCTTATATAATTTCAAGTACCATTGTTAGGACCTTCACAAACAAATTGTTCTGTCTGTTGGGGGTGCATTCTCAAATTTGATGCAGGGTCTTTTTGCTGTGTATGGGAAGAAGTGTTGTGTCCATACATAGTGACTTGCCATGTGAGGCAATTTGGGTCGTATCAATTCCAATGGTGGAACACAATGAAGGCATTGGGAACACAAGAATAAGTATCTATGTTGTGGATCAGAGGTTAGGAGTGGATCAAGAAAACCAAGCTGCTTATTATATTATATAACACCAAACACGTTATTGCCCCACAATGGAATAACTACAAATCCAACCAGATTTTCTCAAGATCGCAATTAAACACACTAACACCTAAAATGGAATCAATCCCACCCATTGTTAGACAAGTTTAAGTTACAGCCTCTTGTAATAATCCATACCAGCAAACCAGTGAGATAAAACTATATTTCAGCCCTGCAGCAAAAACATTTTAGTACAACTATTCATTCAGATTAGAATGTAAAACCTTCCCAGAGCAAGTCTCTCAATTCAAGTAACACTTAACCATTCTGGTTGCTTCCTACAGTTTCAACTTGGCCTGTTATCACAAACATAGTGTATTAGCATTCTGTTGGAGGAGGTACAACCAATACAATACAATGTACTCCCTTTGTCTTTTTTCAATCTACACTTTACAGTCTTATTCAACCACTGGGATGTGAATCCATTAAATCCAGAAGATAGCAGTGCTGTCACGTTCGATGAATGACGGTTCAGACCAAGGCGCGGCGTGATATGCGTACATATCTATTAAACTTTAAACATATAACAAAACAACAAAGAAAATTAAACGTGAAGTCCAAGGTAGAACACACAACATACCTTACAAGGAACAAGATCCCACAACTAGACAGTGCCAATAGGCTGCTTAAGTATGGTCCCCAAACAGAGACAACGAGCGACAGCTGCCTCTGATTGGGAACCACACCGGCCAACATAGAACTAGACATACTAGATCCTCATACATAGAACAAGCACAACAAGGAATATACACACCCTGACTCAACATATAAGCGTCCCCTGAGTCAGGGCGTGACAAGTGCAGCTAATTTCTAACAGAAATGAAGCTGTAACATCTCAGAGGCACACAGATACTGGTCACTGAGAGCGGATATATAGTGAGTGGGCCAGCTTTTGGCAGGCACAAGACCTGTATTTTCAAAACACAAGGATTAAACAGGATCCAGTAAGTAAGGGAATAACTGTACATAAACACATGCTGAGCCAAGGGGCAAGGGGTCCCAGACATTAGGATTTACCCCTAAGGAGGCTATTCACAGACCACAAACAGAGGCTTTAGCTGTGTGTGTGTGTGTGTGTGTGTGTGTGTGTGTGTGTGTGTGTGTGTGTGTGTGTTTGTGTGTCTGTGTGTGTCTGTGCGTGAGTGCGTGCGTGTACTGTATGCATGTTATGGCTCTTCAATATTTACACTGAGAACCTCCAGTAGGCAACTGAGAGAAGATAAGAATGTGCAAATCAGCATGTTATGCGTTCATTACAGTCTCAGCAATTGCATGTTATTCTAACTGTGTAATTACATGTCAATTACATAGGCACCTCATTCCAATGAGGTAATTAACTGGTAGGGCCAGTAAACAAACAAGGGTTAAGACTTAGTGAAGAATAATGCTTAAAAATAATTGGGCAGATGGCTGCTTGTGTTGGAATACAGTATAATTAGGCTAATTTACAGTGAGTAAGATTTTATCCTGAATAAATAAATTAACTTTCTTTGTCTAGGGAAGTATACCTAAAGTATGCATTTAACATTGAGGGCATACATGCTGTAATAAAAGTATGCAAAGCAGCAAAGTGGTCAAAGTAGAGAGCAGTGGCGGCCGCTGATTGGCTGAATACCCAGGGAGTGAGGTGGTTGGAGTTGTCAACAGAGCAGCATGACAGAAATATGATGCCAAGTTTTCAAACTACCGGCAGTTTATTTGAGAAGATATATAAAGCTATCTGTGCATTTGAACAACAGCATTTAATACACCTATTTCACTTTTGTAAGTAAAAAAAATAATTGGAGAAGCATGTAGAGCTGCTTTCTCAGACTCCACTGCTGCTACCCACTTCAAAATGCACAGGACAAAGTGCACAGAAATGATTAATGGTGTTCTAGCACCATACTTTCTGAAAAAGTTGGTCGTAGATGTGGGTGAGCAGCGTTTTAGCCTCCTCCTCGATGAGTCCACGGATGTAAGTGTTTCTAAGTACCTGGGTGTTGTGAAAAGGTACTTTAGTGACACCAAGCAGACAATTGTATCAACATTGCTGGGGCTTGTTGAGTTGGAGGGAGGAAATGCCAAATCTATAGCCCGAGCTGTTGTGGCTTTCCTCGAGAAGTGTTGTCTTAAAAAAGAGAAACTCCTGGGGATATGGAGTGACAATGCCTCTGTTATGACAGGGATTAACAATGGGGTCCATAAAGTGCTGAAGGAGGAGTATGGCCTCAAAGATCTGGTTCTTATTCGCTGTGTGTGCCACTCTCTGCAGCTTGCTGTAAGTCATGCTTCCAATGACACCATCCCCCGTAGTGCGGAGTACTTGGTATGAGAGACTTATAACTGGTTTTCAGTGTCTCCAAAGCACAGGGAGACCTACAAGGCCATATGTGAGACCATCAACTGTGGGGAGAAAAGTTTACAGATAACCAAGGTGTGTGCCACACGTTGGCTCTCCATTGAACCAGCGGTTTCATGCATTTTGGACCAGTGGGAGGAGCTTAGGCTGCATTTCGCAGTCACCAAGTCCAGTGAACACTGCTACATGGATGAGGTTTTATACTCCATGTACAGTGATCCTCAAAACATATTGTATCTGACTTTTTTGAAGTCAGTGCTGGGTGAGGTACAGTTGGCCATCAAGGTTTTTGAGGGAGAGCAAGTAGATCCTCTTAAGCTACTTGACAGCTTGGTTAGCCTGATCTAGTCTGTGAGCAGCAGGGTGCTGAATCCACAGGCAAATGTTGATGTACTCAAAGGGCCAATAGATGGATACATCAGTCCCAAACCGTACCTTGGTTACCTTTTTGAGTCAAAGGCAGCTGAGCTCCACCTTGCACCTGAGGATGAAAACAATGTCCGAAAGCGGTGTGTAGCCTTCACCATCTTCCTCACTAATGAGTTGAGGGTGAGACTGCCGGACAACATCGAAGCATTGCAGTCCATGTCAGTTTGTAATGTGGAGGAAACTCTAAAGCACAATAAGAGCCCTGGAGAAATAGAAAATATAGCCAAGCTCCTTGGCTAATCCCCTGCAGAGATAGACAAGATTGTCCAGCAATGGCGTGCCATCCATCTTAGTAAATGGAATGAGACAAAAAACACACTGGGCTTCTGGAGTGAGATTTGGAAGTTCAGGGATGCAGCTGATTTTTTACTCACTTTATGTCTCTCCCACGACGTTATTCCTCTATCCTACAGTGTCCATCACAATTACATGCACATGGCCAACTATGCAAATTAGGTGATGACGTCATTTAGCGACTTCTAGCGACTTTTAGGACAGCCAATAGCTACTTTCCTTACTGAGGAGTTGGCAACACTGCTTCTCAGCATTTGGCTACTGGTAGGCTAGCCTTGAAAGGATGGTCATGCGAGACTACAGGTGAGGTAGTTTAATGGTCCATTACCTGTGTTAGGGCTAAGGACTACAGGTGAGGTAGGCAAATGGTCCATTACCTGAGAAATTGTCTGGTGCGTGAGCCCACCAGATGACTGGCCTAATTAGGAAATAGGAAGCCCTAGCAATGAGATTTGTTTATCAAATAAATACAAAGTAGGCCTATGTAGTGATTTAGTCAATTATGCTTAAATTTGTATTGCCAAGTTGAGTTATTAGGCTACAATAACATTCAGGACAGATGGGATTTTGCTGTTACTACATCAGTGGATGCTCAGCTCATCACTTCTTTGTCCATGCATAGGGCTGTTTTCCAAAGTTAGCTTCTTGAGAGGGAGGCGCAAGGTGGAACGTTGACCAATTTTTTTCTCTCCTGGAAGAAATATGAAACCTGGTTCATTTCAGCCAAGTTTGTCCCAAGCTCCCAGTTCTTAACATTGCTTTGCATTGCCCGTCTCCATTTTGCTTTTTTAACAAAAACTCGTTTTGCCAATTTGACAGGAAACGTGCGTTTTGTAAATTATCCACATCTATTCTAACCCACTGAAACGTTTGGATGTGTTTATCAAATAGGCCTACTCCACGATTTTTATTCTTTTTTTTCCAGACGAATATGAAAGGATTATTTGTCTATATCGGATAGTAAAATCACTCTGAACGAATTTTTTTCATTTTTTTCCGAGGAGAACAAAGTGCCGTAAGCTTTATGGTATTTTCGACCTCATCGACCATCCAATATTTGCCAGGAGGCAGGCAGTCAGTAATGTTTGGAAACTGAGCGCAACAACAATCTCCGACAGCTTTGACCGTGTTTTGTTTTGTTATCAGTATCTCTGCCTAGAGAAGTAATTAAAAAACGTTTGGGGATGTGAGACGGCATTGACTTTTTCCGATTGAGCTTTTGGAGGAATTTAACTTTTCGGGGGGAACAATGGCGAGGTATTTGGTGAAAATGTCTCTTGCCATACTTTTCCTTGGATTTTTTATGTTCACTTTAGCAGCCGTAAATGCTGAACAAGAGCAAGAAGTAGATAAAGAAGAGGAGGAAAGTACATGTCAAGGGGCTTTCGACTTGTATTTTGTGCTTGACAAGTAAGTTACTATCTAAATGCCATATTTATTATTATACTGCATAGACTAAATAAACCCAGGGTACCGTTATATTGAGATGCCAAGCCTCCCTGGTTACACACATATGTTAATAGCATAACCTACACTGTTCAAGCTAAATAAAAAGTTTAAATAAAAACGTTTTAGTGTTTTTACAACGTTGCAGACTGCTAATGCACTTACAAAGAATTTGTAATGCAAATCCACTATTCCAGCTGTTACAGCTGTTTTTGTAAAGACTTCTCCCAGAATCTAAATAGGCTGCTCACAAATTAACTTGATGAATTCATTTTTCACCTCATTAAGTCATTACTGAACAGACAGTAGTGTGTGTGTGGTGATGCAGGAGGAGGCTGACTCTGGGTAGAGTCAGGTGAATAAGCAATGATCATCTACTTCTCTGTATCTTTTTTTCTTCCTCTGTCCTAATGGGGGAAGCATGTCTGTGCATGCCCTCAGGTATCTTTACAAGGTCCACTACTTCCTTTTTCACATTATAGAATGGGGTATAAGACACAGTCTGTACTGCCTGTACATGACTACAACTAACATTCAGGAGTATAGTTTTCATAGTGACCATGCATTTCCTCCTTTCCACCCACATAGGAGAAATCTTTGTGGTTCCAACATCTTACTCTAGACCAGCAGCAGGCCTCTCTCACTGTCCCAGGAGAAAAAAGTAGACTATACAGACCTTTCTGTCCTGCTATAGCCTAAGCCTAGCCGCTTTATGTAATAGATCAGATCAGATTTGAGCATATTTTATATAGAATTTCATATACAAACACAACTCATAGAAGATGTATGATTAAACCTTGATATATGTCTATGTCTACAAACTTGTGTGGCCCTGGATGTGGATGTTGGTGAGATTCCTGACTTCAAACAACCGAATGCTCATTAGTGACATCCCCTCATCCCTCAGGCCTGAGCTGTTTATTAGATGCACAGACCATATTCTGGTTAAGATTAAGTTAACAGGATGTGTGGAGGTTAACAGGACACAGCCCTTTGTACAGTAGCTTGGCTACTGGGTCATGTTTAGGGTCTGGAGTTTTTCCTGAGCAGACCTGAGCTGGAAAAACTCTGGGCGTTATTTACTGTATATCCTACAGGACCAGGATTTTTTTTCTCCAGGCCAGGTCAGAGAAAAAACTCCTGACTCTTGTCATGCTGCATAGGGCTACAACTAGGCTACTACAACTTGGTCTCAAGTTTCTTAGAATATTAGTCCTGTAGGCTTCACGACTAGTTTATGGAAAAATCTCCCTCAGCCAAGTGCACTGAATAAAGGAAAATGGACTATGTGGATATCATGAATCATTACTGTCAGGGTCCAAATGGATGGTGGATCAAAGAGAACCAACTCAAAGCTATCCCTATGTTGTGGTGTACTATAGGCCTACTGAGGTATGAGTTTGTGCTGAATCAAACTGGTAGGCCCTATCCTGCTGTTTTATAAGGAACACAACACAAAGGGATTGTTTTAGGCAAGTTTCTATCACCACAGACCGGTACTGACGCCAAATGTTCTGCATAATAAAAATCCTCAAAACACACTCCCTACCACTGTAGCTAATTCTCATCAGATGGTATGGGGAAACACCCTAGTTTTACTTTTGGTCTGCTAAAATCACTTCCTTGTCCTCACTTAGACTAGTTGTCACTGCCACACCTGCATTTACCACTTGTAGGACGCAAAAACACTGGCCCATGGGACATTCACTGTTTATAGGGAACAGGATGATGACGCTAGAAGCTCTGATGCTTTAGAGGATTTCCACAGCTGTACTGTATGTCTTGACCTCCTTGGCATTGATATCAGGGTCGTTCCATATTATTTCGATCACTTTCTGAATGATTTGAACAAAACCCTCCATACATGTTTACCCGTGGTGGAAGGGGTCAGAAAGTGACTTTTCTGTTTCTGAATGTCAAAACATTCAGGAGATAGAGGTGCTCAAAGTTTGACCCATTTTGCATACCCCACCCTACCATTAGATATCCATGTCTTCATCACTGAAAAAGATAAACAGTTGAGTATGATATCATTTGAAAGCTTACAAACAGGGTTGTCAAAGTATTTTATAATTTATTGAAAAAAAAGTTTTTTAAATACAAATTTTACTTTTCTTAACCTATAAAGCCAATTATCTAAAAACATGTAAACTCAGATTTGTTCATGTTCATATACAGTATGTTTTAGCTTAGACCCTATTTTGCATCATCAGAGTTCTTTGTGTTGTGCCCACCATTGGTTGAGACTTGGCATGCTCTTGAATACAGGGTGGGTGTCAGTCATGTTTTGGTTGATAAATGTACTAAATTGAAATTTCAACTTTCAAATGGTAGGCTACCACAAAGATGGTTGAATGTTCACACATCAGATAATGTTTTTTTTTGCAGGGTATTTTATTAGGATCCCCATTAGCCGACGCCAATGGCGACAGCTAGTCTTAATGTGGATTTGAGTGGGAATATCTGTTGTTTTAAATTATACTGTCAATCTTCCATAGGAAACCTATTGAAATCATAGAAATACAGATACTAGATTAGACATTCCCATTCAAGTTGACATTCGACGGTGGGTGGACCGGCGGCCATCTTTTTGGTTGTAATTGGAAGTTAAAATTGAAATTACCAGCTAAATTGCAGTGACCTGAAGGGATAGGTCCATTCTATTACTTCTGTTTCTATGATTGAAATGACACTCACCCTGTATTCAAGAGTATGCTGTGTCTCAACCAATGGCAGGCACAACACAAACACCTCATATTATGTAAATTAGGGTCTAAGGTACAACATATGCGAAAATGAGACAAATCTGAGTTTACAAATTTTTACATAATTGCTGTTGGTTAAAATATTGCATAATTGTTCATATATAACAAAACATCTCAATAAATTATAAAATTGTTTGACAACTCTGTTTGTAAGCTTTCAAATGATATCAAACTCAACCGTTTATCTTTTTCAGTGATGAAGACATGGAGGTCTAATGGTAGGGTGGGGTATGTAAAATGGGTAAACTTTGAGCACCTCCAGCTCCTGAATGTTTTTGCCATTCAGGTCCAAAATGTCACTTTCGGACCACTTCTACCATGGGCAAACATGTATGGAAGGTTCCGTTCAAATCAAAAAGGGTGCGGTCAGAAAGTGATTGAATTCATATGGAACGACCCAACACTGATCAAACGATGGGGAAAAATGGAAACAGTTATGTTTGGCACTTGTGTTTTCCCAATGGTAGCTGCATATAGCAGCCATTTGTTCCTCCTTTTCAAGTCTTCATCATTCTTGTTCTTCTCACAGGCCAACATTGAAGTTGGGTGTTAAGTCATGATAATTTAAAAGTCCAAGCCAACCAGACTACAGCTGAAGTCTGTAAATAATTTAAATACAGTATGTCAAAACCTTCTCATTGTGGAATGTGCTTTTTTATCTCTTCAGGACCATGGTGCTGCTTTGGCCTCCATAAAGCGCCAGAAGTAGCCTTTGGCACATGTGTTTTGCAGGAATAAATGCCTTGTTAAATGTTATCATACCGTCTAGTATTCCCAGCGTGTTGAGGGACCCGAGCCAGACAGACATTTTAAAGGGGTTGAATGGCAGTCATTTATTTAGAGAAGAAAATGTTGCACCCAGAGAAAAGTGTAAAAAGAAGAAAGAGAGGAGAGAGAGAGACAAAATATCCAAGAAAAAGAGGGAGTAAGAGAGAGAAAATATAGATTGCAGATGGGGCCTAGACACAGCAAGTAGGCCTCAAGCTAAAAGTAGGTTAGTGGTTTCTCTGTACAAATCCCTATGCATAGTCAGTTAAATTGGAGTAAGATTATTGGTTGCAGACTGGGGTGGAATGTGACACTAGCTTCATGGTGTTGGATTTTCCTCTCAACACGCGTGAGAGCAGAGCCCATCGCCTTTACTGAGCGCCTGGTCTGACGGAGCTTTTTCCCACATGTAATCGGCTAGACCCATGGCCCAGACTGACTGAACCCTCTCTCTCTGTCTGTTTGTCTCACTCACTCTCTCTCTCTCTGACTCACTTCATTTTGCTGGTTCTAGCAGTGCATTTTCACATAGTCAGCAGAAAGAAAGGCTTGATTTTAAAATAAAATATATTTACTCCGGGTCGTCCAGGCTTTTATGTGTTTAAAAGAATGAATGCTTTCTCTCTCTGACATCTAGCACAGTCCTGCACAGTCCTGGCATGGTCTGCTTAGCGTTGCTAGATGGTGCATGTTGCCTCCCCGAGTGCCCTGAGGTGTTTGGAAACAGTACAGCTACAGCCATCAAATCAAATGCTCTAGAAAACTAGAGACATAGTTGTTGCTTATGGCCTTGAGACCATAGCCTGTCAAGCCGGGTGTACACTACATGGTTTTGGCCCCAATTTAGCAGCCCCAGACAAGTTTTTGAGATCGGAGACAAAATCCCCATGTCGTTGCACGCGGCCGTCACCGTCGCTCGTTTAATGTGAGCGGGTCAGAGACGCAATCTGAGGGATACCGATCCCGTTTTTGAGCAGTCCCAGATGTCCAGATATTTTCAAACATGTTTGATGGGCACAAAATCTGCAATGTTCTTTTTTTATTAGAAACAAGTCAGTTAAGAACAAGTTCTTATTTACAATGACGGCCTACTACGGCCAAACCCGGATGACGCTGGGCCAATTGTGCGCCGCCCTACGGGACCCCCAATCACGGCCGGATTGTGATACAGCCTGGAATCAAACCAGGGTCTGTAGTGACACCCCTAGCACTGAGATGCAGTGCCTTAGACCGCTGCACCACTTAGACCGCTGCACCACTTAGACCGCTGCACCACTTAGGAGCTGTTGTAGCTCTTGTAGTGTGAGAAATGCAACAACAAGATTTGAGAATGGTGATCAGAAATAGCCAATGAGAGCTCTCCAGAGAAGGAGCCAGTGAGATGATGACGTTGTATCGCATCACCCAGAATGTGTACTCTCGAGCAGGAGCGATGACCACTACTAGTACGCGTTTGTACTTGCCAAAGTGTCAAATCGTTACAGCTCTGACAAGCTCTTTACGCACAATGTTATTCAATTCAAAATGTATTGGCTAGATATTTGAACTCTGTATGGCAAGCGTGAATATTTGACTGAAAACGTTTATGAAGCTGCTTTGAGCCACAGCTCGTTCTAGCTATCTAATCACATCACATCCTTGTTTTAGCGAGACAGCGTTGGATTCGAGAATCATCACGACCAAGTGAAGAATCTTGTAGTGTGTGACCCCCCGGTCTGTGCCACATCGTTTAGTGGGCGCACCACTACGTTGGCAAGACAAAAAACTACAGGAAAGACGTGTAGTGTCGGCCTGGCATAAGTCATCTTGTTTAGTCTTTTGTCTGTTACTCCCAGGACAGTTTTCAAGGAGTTGGTTAGAGCACTGACCTCACCAGTCCCTCGAGTTTGATGTTGCTGAACTATTTTGGCCTCTGTCATCTGTTTGGGCTGACAGACAAGGAACTGGACTGAAGATCTTCGGTGGATATTTTCTGCTTCCCCCAGCAGATAAAAAGCCAACACGTTGTTTTAATTATCCCAGTCTTCCTAATGTTACCCCGATCTCTCTCTCTCTCTCGCTTTCGCTTTCTCTCTCTCTCTCTCGCTCTCTCTCTCATATATAAGTATAGTCAGAGGATCTATCAATTGTATAACACACTAGGGAAAGGAAACATATAGTCAGTCATTTTATGACATAATCTCCAACTCCTGTCATCAAGGGCTCAATCATTTTAGTCAACAAAGCTGTTGAAGCTTGTGTTAACAACTTCCAAAACATTTTACATCGACAAAACTTTGAGCTGTAATGGTTTGACTCAGTTAGATCAAAGAAGAAGTACCACAAACATTTTCATCAAGGATCTTACAAGAAAATAGCCCACTTCCTTTCCTAATGCTGTTTATACAGGTGAGGAAACTGCAAGCTAGGCCCCAATCCCACAACTGCCTGGTACCTCAGAAAACAGTCTTGTCCAACACAAATAATATCCATCGTGATGCAAAAAATGTCCAAGGCGGGAGTTCTTAGCTTAACCCGTCTTAGAAAAACACTGAAACGCTATCCCTATATGACTGTCGAGTACATGAAAGAAGCCATTTTGAGTTGCAGTATTTTCCCCTTGTAATGAAACAAACTGCATCTCTGACACACTGGCTCTTCCCTCAGGTCAGGGCAGTCCAACTGTGTGTATTCAAGCCGCGTCAGATGAACACTGTTTATTCAGCACATTTGTTGAATGAGACGTTAGCTGACCTCCCCCACAAGTATTATTTGGGTAAGGTTTGTTTAGTTTGAAAAGTCTTGGCCCCACAGGGTGCATTGCTTCAGATGAATGCAATGCCTTGATGTGCTGAACAACCAGGAAGTTTGTTGGAGGAAAAAACAAGAACAACAGAGCTTATAAAGAATATACTCAACTCTCTATCTGCTAAGTATATCATGTCTGTTTATCCTACACAACGACAACAAAAATATACACCAGGAAACCAGTAAGGAGACTAAACTGGGAAACAAGTTAATGTTATGTCTGTCTCCAGATTATAACTATTACATGTGACATCCATGTGCGGCTTCGTCAGCAGCATTGTCCTATTTCAGGCTACTGCTTCATCCATCCGCTAACTGGACTGTGGTTTGGTTCAGTTCAATAAATTAGCTCATTTCCATGTGTTATATCCTTCAGCAAACGAGTCACCGCCACAACCCCCAGCCAGGTCCCTTCCTTCCATTCACACGTGGGTCTGAGAGGAAATGAAGCTCTTCGCTGTGGTCCCTCAGGGAGGCTCAGAGCTGTTTCCTCAGCCCCATGGGAGTTGAGCTGGGCAGTTTGCTAAATTAATTACTGGTCCTCAGATGTGTCCTAACCTACTTTCCTCCTTTTCCCTAATGCATGGAGTTAGTTTGTGTCAATGGAGATTTTCCATGACATTGTTAGGCCAGTCAGCTTAATAATAGTATCTCTGTTAGGATTGTGTGTTTACTTTATATGTTGCACACAATTTCTTTACTAGGAGGTGTTGGATAAACATATAGGAAATGTGTCAAGTGTGATTTTAAACAACAGTAATTAAAATGATAAGTATTCCTCTGTGTTCTCTCTTTCTAAGATCTGGCAGTGTCAAAAACCACTGGATAGAAATATACTCCTTTGTGGAGCATCTAGCTGAAAAGTTTATCAGGTAAGAGAAAGTATTTTCAATATCATTTATTTTTTACATTGATTGAGAGATGTATATTGGGCCTATATGAATCCTACGTACATGTACATCTCCTGAAGAAAATATCACTTTTACTTTCTTTATGTGACACCAAATGTTTGCATATACTGGTAAAGTTACCAGGTTGTTAATAGGGCTGCATGATATGGGCAAGAAATCGAATTGATTTTTCAACCAAATATTGCGATTTGACTTGCAATATAGATCAAACAAAACACTTGAGTGAACTATTGGAATCATAGAAATAGAATGATTATTCTAATTCTGTGGTTGGTGTTGTTTGGCATGACAACAAATGAAAAAGCCAGGTAAGAGTTATGACAGGTGTGATGCGTGATTTGAAGGAGTCAGGCGCAGGAGGGTAAATCACAGTATACAGTTTATTCCGTAATCCAGCGTAACCAGTCCAGTGCGCAAAACGGGCGCACTGGAACAAACATGCACACTGAGAAAATACCCCGGCAATGCAAAATACTGAGCTCCAGCAGGAGATGTAGACCACTACACCGCGACCAAGCATGTCCCGAAACACCTCGTTCACAAAGGACTGGAAGATGGATGGAGCATTCATCAAACCGTAGGGCATCACCAGGTATTCATAATGCCCTGTGGTTGTGCTAAATGCTGTCATCCACTCATCCCCCTCTCGGACACGCACCAGGTTGTACGCACTCCGGAGATCTAATTTGGTGAAGAAGCGGACCCTATACATTGACTCAATCACTGAAGGAATTAGGGGGAGAGGATAACTAAATCGTATTGTCTCCTTGTTCAGGGATCGATAATCAATGCATGGGCGCAGAACGCCGTCTTTCTTCTTCACAAAAAATAAACTTGAGGAGGCGGGTGAAGTGGAGGGACGTATAAACCCCTTGCACAGGGACTCGGTGACGTATGTTTCCATAGCCTCCATTTCAGCCTGTGACAGGGGATACACATGACTCCTGGGAGGAACAGCGTCTACCCGGAGGTTTATCGCACAATCCCCCGCCCGATGTGGTGGTAATTTGGCTGCCTGCGTTTTGGATAACGCGTACGCCAAATCGAGGTATTCGGGGGGAATGTGCACGGTAGAGGTACTGTCTGGACTTTCCACCGTGGTTGCACCAACGGAAACACAGAGACACCTACCCTGACACTCTCGCGACCACCCCGTGAGAACTGTCTGTGGCCATGAGAATGTGGGGTTGTGGAGTGCTAACCAAGGGATACCTAGTACCACAGGGAAAGCAGGAGACTCAATGATAAAAAACGTGACTTGCTCGCAATGAGTCTCGTGGATAACCATGGTGATTGGTGCGGTAACTTCCCTAACAAACCCGGACCCTAGTGGTCGATTATCAAGTGCTCTGATGGGGAGTGGAATGGATAGGGGAACCAATGAAATGCCTAGACTGTGTGAGAATGCCCTGTCCATAAAGTTCCCAGCTGCGCCTGAATCGACTAGCGCCTTACACTTGGGAACTACAATGTGATCAGGAAAGTAGATGGGTAGGGTACAGTGCGCAGCAGAGGGCTCTGAACAAGTGTGAGTGTTCGATACCTGGGGTGATGCGAGAGTGCCCTGCCTGCCGCCTCCAGACCCAAAAGAACGCTGACGACATCGTGCGGTGTAATGTCCCTTCGTGCCACAAGAGTGACACTGGCGCTGTCGTCGGATCGCGACTCCACCCATCTCCATCAGCTCGTGATCCGAGTCGGCCGGGGTTGGAATCGGCAGACCCCCTCCAGGACGTCCTCTGGCCGCCAGCAGGTTGTCCAAACGGATGGCCATGTCCACCAGTTGCGTGAAGGACAACATGGTGTCCCGGCAGGCTAGCTCCCTTCGGACGTCCTCCTGCAGATGGCACCGGAAGTGGTCGATAAGGGCCCGCTCGTTCCACCCGGACCCAGATGCTAGAGTCCGAAACTCCAAGGCGAAGTCCTGCGCAGTCCTCGTCCCCTGCCTCAGGTGGACCAGCCGCTTGCCCGCCTCTCGACCTTCGGGCGGGTGATCGAAGACAGCCCGAAAGAGGCGAGCGAACTCTCCGTAGTTGTCCAACGCGGCTCCTCCTTCGTTCCAGACCGCGTTGGCCCACTCCAGGGCTTTCCCCGAGTGGCAGGAGACGAGGGCGGACACCTTCTCCCGCTCCGATGGGCCCAGGCTGATGCTGGAGAAGTAGAGCTCCAGTTGGAGGAGGAATCCCTGGCAGAGAGCAGCTGTCCCGTCGAACTCCCGTTGACTTTGTTGTAATGTTTGTCACTCAAATATCACATGAACACACATAAGACATGGCAAAATGTGTAGAATTACAGGAAATTAGCTTTAAAATGGCAACAAATAAAATATCCATCCCATGGCAAAATGTATAGAATTGCAGGAGATAAGCTTTAAACCTGCAGCAATTTCTCTCTGGCGACAAGATGGGTGTGAACAGTTTGTGTCATGAACAGTGCATTTGCCCATAGATGTTCCCCAATGCTGGAAGGTTGGTCTGAGTGATAAAGTTTGGGAACCCCTGATCTACACCACCACTGGTAGCAACCAGTATTAGAGCTAGTGCATTTAGCTAGCCAGTTAGCTAGTTAGAGATTAGCATTAGCTGTTAGCATTATTTTAGTCACATGCCTTAGACTTAGACTAACTAACTCGTGTTTTACAGAGAGCAAGATACACAAACTTATAGTATAATAGAGAAGACGTGGATTCCTATTTTGAAGTAACGTAGAAAACAGCATCATTTTTGTTTTGGAAGAATATATTGAGTGCATGAATTTCACAGCATGCTGAGAGAACAAACAGCATGGAGGAACTGTGTGCTGCTGCTTGAGTGACAGGGGGTGGTGCTTGGTGTGTGTGGCCTGGGAACTGGAAGCAAGCAGCCGCAGGAGGCAGCCTGTCTTGTTTGAGTAGTGTAAAGAGGGTTGCGGATAAATATTGTTATGCATTACATTTTTTATTGGATTTTATTCTAGTTGCACTGGTGCTCCCAAAATAAAACTCCAGATCGCACAGCAAAATATTTTGTCGCATATGCTTCTTACCAACCCACCGCTGTAATGGCATGTGTCATGAACATAATGGCAGGTCGAGAGGTTCAAGCTGGGAGACAAATTTGGACGTGACCAGACATCTAAAAGCCACTTCAGGCTGACTCCCCTTATGTCAGTAGCTAGTTTTCTACCTCAGTTTGGGTGGCATTGTTTTCCATCATCAACATAGTCTCAAAAACAACACCTGAAACCATGAAATTGAGTTTGAACATGCTGTAGTATTGCAGGCAACATGCTCACTTCAATGTATGTATTTGTCTGAAGAACGGGGTCCTGAATCCTGGCACATACACAAACAATAGGACAGAACTCACCACATGAGAGAATTCACAGACTTATGCTTAGATGCATGGACATCAGAGGAGGCTGGTAGGAGGGGAGCTATAGGTAGACGGGCTCATTGTAATGGCTGGAATGAAATCAATGGAAAGGAGTCAAACGTGGTTTCCATATGTTTGATGTGTTTGATACCATTCCATTTATTTTATTACAGCCATTATAATGTTCCCGTCCTCGTATAGCTCCTCCCAACAGCCTCCTCTGATGGACATGTTTTGGCGTAAGGTTTTTCTCATGCTAGGGACATTTTGACGTCAAAACACATCCTAGCATATCACAATAACTCAGTGAAATAAATGGTTTGGAGTGTGGTTCCTATTGTTTGTTGTTTGTTTATTGGTTGAGTTCAAACATAGTATGGCCTCTTTGAGGCTTGACAAAATGAAAATGGTTCCAAAAATGTACAGTATATCTAACCCTTTTGTTTGTGTGTTGTTTTACAGCCCCATGTTGAGAATGTCCTTTATTGTGTTCTCATCCAGAGGAACCACTCTCATGCAACTGACAGAAAACAGGTAAACTAAAATATTGGTTGTGTCCCAAATGGTACCCTATTCCCTTTATAGGGAATACGGTGCCATTTGGGATGCATACATTGTCTTGTATGAGGACTTTGAAGTAGAAGAAAGTTCTGAAGCCCTCTAAACTTGTATCTATTTTACTCAGTAATTACATTTCAAGACCAGACAAGGACATTTTCAATGACGTGATTTGTGATTGGTGTTGTTTGTCAGGGTGGAGATAAGAAAAGGTTTGAATGTGTTGAGGAGAGAGATACCAGGTGGAGACACCTTCATGCACCTGGGCTTGGAAAGGGTACATATTTTACATTTACATTTTAGTCATTTAGCAGACGCTCTTATCCAGAGCCTGCTTCTGACGTGGTTCTTACTTTATCACGTTATTTACCTGTTTAACATATTTTTGTTTTAACATAAGAAGAACAATAATAATAATATTGTCTTCTGTTTTCAGGCAAATGAGCAGATACACCATGAAAACTTTGGTAAGCATACAATGACATTTGTCACTACATCTAGACCTAAATAAAAAAATAACTCATTTTTTTCTGTACTTGGCAATGTTGAGTCATACCATTGATTGACCTCTCCGTTACAGGAACAGCAAGTGTTATCATTGCCTTGACGGATGGGGAGCTGAATGAACACCAACTCGTCACTGCACAACAGGAGGTATGCAAATAGGATTATAGCATTCACCTTCCTGTTGATGTAAAGGAAAGACAATGTAAAAACATGTTCTCTGGTACTGATTCTTGTTTTTTTACAACAGGCAGAGAGAAGCCGGTCTCTAGGAGCTATGGTGTACTGTGTTGGAGTAAAGGACTTCAACGAGACACAGGTAAGGATTTAGTTTGCAGTAAAACCGATGCATGTCCTGCTCCCCTGTGAAAACACATTTAGGAACCTGTTTTAAAAATTAAATTACATAATTACATGCAGTATACTACTCACTCGATATTCTTTCACTACAATGGTTACAATATGTGCTATTTATTTTTAGTAACCCGTTTGTAGACTATGTATCCCATAACTGTATCAACCTACACATCTTGAACCTGAGCTTGCTTGTGAGGTTGATAGTGCTACTTATATAATATAATATGCCATTTAGCAGACGCTTTTATCCAAAGCGACTTACAGTCATGCGTGCATACATTTTTGTGTATGGGTGGTCCCGGGGATCGAACCCACTACCCTGGCGTTACAAGCGCCGTGCTCTACCAGCTGAGCTACAGAGGACCACTATATGCCAGGCTGCGCATTAATGATAGAGAAATTGGGCGATTTGACTAGCATGCAAACGATTAACATATTAGCTAAGAAGAATGTTTCAGAGTCATGCAGTGTTAAACTGGATTTGAAACCTGATTGGCCCTATGCATCATTTTACCACCTGGATTGACTTTCACTAAATGCCTGGGCATAATATACTGTACTTCACCTGTCAAGGTACAGTAGTTTAGTTATCTGTCCAATGTTGTTTGTACATTAGGATTGTACCTGATTGTGCTTAGTGTGCCTATCATTGTACTGTTATTTCCCCCCTAACCTGGTCATGCATGTAGAGAAAGATGGAGCCATACACTCTTAGAAAAAAGGGTTCCAAAAGGTTTCTTCAGCTGACGCCATAGGATAACCGTTTTTGGTTCCAAGTAGAACCCTTTTTGGTTCTAGGTTGAACCCTTTTGAGTTCCATGTAGAGCTCTCTGTGGAAAGGGTTTTACATGGAACCAAAAAGGTTCTACCTGGAATCAAAAAGGGTTCTTCAAAGGGTTCTCCTATGGGGACAGCCGAAGAATCCTTTTAGATTCTAGATAGCACCTTTTTTCTAAGAGTATAGAGATACAATATAATTCTGTGGTTGGAGATCTTATTTCACTATTTCAAATCAAGTGTTCACTGAACTCTTCACTGAAGGGAATGGGTCATGATGTACATAATATGTGTATGTCTCTGGTTCCTGAGATGTGAGCCAAGAGGAAGCACTGAGACTGTGTAAATAAACCTGCTCTCTCCTTCCCCCTATAGCTGGCCACCATAGCAGACACCATCGAGCATGTGTTTCCTGTGATGGGCGGATTCGTAGCCCTGCGAGGAGTGATTGACTCGGTAAATAAACCCTGGACAGGAAGGAGAGACAGTCCTGTTTCATAAAACATACCTTCAAAGAAAGATAAAATAAAGATGAAAAGACAAAATAGACAAAGCTGTTGTAGTCTACAGTTACTGAATGTCTCAAATTTGATTTACCTGTCTATTTCGACACAGAATCCTCACAAGCTATGAGTTAATTTGAGCTAATATTAACCTAGTCAACTCAATTAATCTCCTTATTCTCCTTCTCCAGATCATCAAGAAGTCCTGTATTGAGATCTTAGCTGCAGAGCCCTCCAGTGTTTGTGCAGGAGGTGGGGTCCCTATAGGAACAAAGCAGATCAATGCCAGTCAATGCTAGTTCCCTGTCATTGCCTAAGTGCCAAGCTGGTGCCGGTGCCTTCCCTCTGACTGGGGCTCAGCTGGCTCGTATTCATTAGGGCACACCATAGTAAAACGTAGCAAACATTATGCAATGGAAAACTTAAACAAGCGTTTCTTATTGGACATATTCAGGTAGTCCCTCCCTGTTTCAGTCTGTTTTTTTCTCAATTTGTTGTCTAGTAAATTATTATATGTAAGGTTTAGTTTATTGTCAGTCATAGTGTACAACATTGGCAGCTAAAAGCTGAATTGTAGTGTTCAGTCCATATGTAAATATAGCTAAATAAACAAATGAAGAAATCAAGGGAGTATCATTGTCACAGCCAGAGAGAAGCCTCATTTAGAGTGTCTCTAAATGAAATTTATGCTGGTCTGCCAAATGGAAGTCAATTTGATAAATGACGTTTCCTAAGCATTTTTTCTGTATTTTATTTAACCAATGTTATCAAGCCTATCTAGCTAATATTGTATGCAATCCAACATAATTGTGCAAGGTCTGATAGCCTATGATGTATGTATGTATCTCTGTACTATTTTTCAAAACTAAAGCTGTTGTCTTTTATTTCCAGAGAGTTTCCAGGTGGTGGTGAGAGGGAATGGTTTCCTTCATGCCAGGAATATAGAGCAGGTGTTGTGCAGCTTTAAAGTCAATGACACCCTCACAATTAGTGAGTACCTGGTTACATTTAAGCAATAAGGCCCAAGGGGGTGTGGTATATGGCCAATATACCATGGCTAAGGGCTTTTCGTAAGCACGACGCAACGCAGAGTGCCTGGATACAGCCCTTAGCCATGGTATATTGGCCATATACCACAAACCCCCAAGGTGCCTTATTGCTATTACAAACTGGTTACCATCGTAATTAGAGCAGTAAAAATAAAATGTTTTGTCATACCCATGGTATATGGTCTGATATACCACGACTGTCAGCCAATCAGTATTCAGGGCTCGAACCACCCAGTTTATAATTATGCTTAATACACTGTAGGCTTACCAGGTGTTTTTATACTAATGTGTATAATGTGTATTTTCAGCTGTAACATGCATGAAGTACTATAGGTGATTGAAGAAACTAAAGTTATTTAAGGAAACTGCTGACAAGAGTGTTGGGCTCTCTCCCTAGATGAGAAGCCTGTGGCTATCGAAGACACATTCCTGCTGTGTACAGCTCCGGTTATAGATGAAGTTGGGCAGTGAGTACCATTCTTAAATCAGTTTTTAAAATGGTCAGAGCTATCACTGTTTTTCAGCACTGTAGGATGAGAGTGTGTTGCCTCTTAACCACATGTCTAGCCGATCACTCTCCAGCCCTCGCACATAAACACACGCACAGAGGGAGAGACCGAGAGAGAACCAGAAGAAGCCTGCCATGCATTAGGGTGTCTTTACGATCCCTGTCAGGGCCACATTCCACTCCTCCTCTATTCTCTCTATATGATGATGAGTTCACTCATTTAGAGCCTCATTGGTTAGAGCCCTGTGTATTCATAATGAGGAGTGTTACAGTTGCCCCTTAATCCTAACAACAGACACACCCATCATCAGCTGGCTTCGTTTCTAAATCAACAAACCACTTTAGAGCCCCTTTTTTTCTCTCCTCATTCCCCTAATCTCTCCCTTCCCTGCTTACCTCTCTCCTGTCCTCTCCTTTACCCTCACCCTGCCACAGTGACTCCTCTGTCTCTCTAACTCCCTTCCCTCTCTGCCAAATTTGTTCTCCTCTTCTGTCATCTTCTCTTCATCTGTAGTCATCTGGCAGTTAGCACCCCATGGTCAAATGTATCACCCTCCCCTCACACACAAGCACACACATACTCACATCTCTACAAAATGTGAACATGGCCCAAGTCCAACTGTCCATATTTTTCCTCTGATCGTTACTTCTTTAAGGGATAAGAAGCTGTTTGCTGGCGCTGAGGTATGCGTGCACATTAACTTAAACCACATACCCGACTCCAGACAGTCAAATCTGAAGAGGCTTATCAGTCAAAATGGCCTACTTCGCATACCCTCTTGATCAGTCTATGTACTTTGCACCCCTAGAAAAAATGTGGGGAATTCAAAATGTTTTTTGTTTTTTTATCAAGGTTTGATATTTTCCAGGCTACCTGAGGTCACGTGTGTAGAATTGTTTTGCACCCAGATGAGAAAGATACTTGTGGTAGTTTTTGGAGATAGGAAGAAGAGATGTGATATGGGCATCAATTGTTTTTGATCGGGCAAGGTAAAACTTGTCTTGGCTGATAAAGGGGTTAACCAACTTTGATGCCAGTGCCGATGCCCTACTTAGTCTCAGACATGTAATAACATGTCTGAGCAATAATAGCTTGTTTGTTTGTTGGGCGCAAATCTCTTTTTGTGTGGCGCCTTGGCACTGGACAACAGTGCCATTTTGACATTCAACTGTCTTGTCCAAGCAAGTCTTAACTAGCATAATTTGCTTCCATTTGGTGTATCCTGTATTGAAACCCTGTGGGTTTTTGTGTTTCAGGGTTGTTTATCTACAAGTGAGCATGAATGAAGGCCTGTCGTTCATCACTAGCTCTGTGCACATCACCACCACAGAGTGTGTAAGTATGGACTTCCAATCACATTACAACTACTACTCAAAAACTCACCAGAAATTGTCTTTTGTTGGGAAACAATTATTCCATTTCCAGATTTTTGCATTGAATCCTCTTTTTTTTTAATGCTGTTCTATCTGAATCTTTTTCTGTTTTTCATTTCTGCCTAATTGTTCCTCCTCCTCTTAATCTTGTTCCGGGGCCTGCCTTTTCTCTTCTCTACATTTTGTCAGAGGGCTCCTGTTTTGCTTGAGTACGTTTCCTTCTCTGCTCTATCTGGAGCCAAACCACGGGGGGGGGCTTCAGCAATGATTCACCCAAAAGCCCCCCAAAGCCCCCACGTCAGTGTGATTTTAACCAGCACTCCGCTCACCCACAAAATAAAGAAAGAAAAAAACACCACCACTTCTCATCCACAATCTATAGGCTCTAATATGAACCATATTGTCCCCTATTTAGATCTTGAGACCCCCTCCTCAACTTTTCTCATCTCTCTTCAGTCTTCCTGGTCTGTGTAATTGGAGGTCCTAACCCTGTCTTAACAATGACTTTTTTCTCCCCTGGCAGTTTGATGGTACCATCCTTCTCATCACCCTCCTGGTTCTTTTCCTGTTGATGGCAATGCTGTTCATGTGGTGGTTCTGGCCCCTCTGCTGCACTGTGGTAACCATAAAAAATTGGTTCAATATGATGGCAATTATGGGCCACATGTTATATTATACTGTATAGAGTAGACCCTTTAGCAGAGTAACTGCCATTTTAATGACTTACGTAATAACCTTTTAAAAGTAACCTGGTTCAATGTAATGAAAATATGTTCTAATTGTTTGTGTAAGGGTGTTACCAGAATATAATAGATATGACTTTAAAAGTGTGTAACAATTTCTTTGGCAGTTTTGCAGTTCATTCTGATGATAAATACCAGGAAATGATAATGAACACCTGATGTGACCACTAGTCACTGTCATCAATTAATATTAATGTGACTTTCCACCCTGAACTTCCTGTCTAGGTGATCAAAGAGCCTCCTCCACCACCCCCTCCAGAGCCAGTAAGTCAGCCCTTGAAGACGCATTTTGCTTTTTTACATCCAAATCTCAATTTTGTTTTTGAGAAACTTAGCCCAACCAGCGAGTAACTTCCTAATCTCGTTGTGCAGTACATGAACAAATGCTCCAAAAACACCCAAATACATCCTTTTAGAAACAGAAAAGCTCTCAATATAGTGATGCAGGGCTTTAGACGTTGAACACATGACATTTTGTCATTCCGAACTTTATCCGCAATGTCATATTCAGTTTTGTTGTGACTCGAGCGATGCCGTCCATTCTAGCAGCAGGCTACACGGAGAATGGAAACAGCTGGATAGGGGAAACAGCTTGAGTCGCACAAAAAAACTAAATTACAGTTACAGGCACCATAATTGCTCCCTGTGGGTGTATAAAGCAGACAAGACAACTTAGATTATCGAGGGTTTTACGCACATCCAAACTTTTTACAGGAGCTGGACAAAGATCCAATATAAAGAGAACTGGGGAATGGGGAACGTCCACTCACCATTATACTCCCAATTGTAATGTTTTATAAACAATATGGAACCATCTTACAGATCATATTTGAACTTTTCCAGAAATAGCAGACGGAATTCCATTGCATTCCAGCCATGTATATTCTCAACACAAACTCATGGACGGTGAATCTTTCTAATAAGTTTGGTTTTTAATCAAATTAAACTAAAAACAATCAATCGGTTTTTATTTATATTTCTAAATAGGATCGGGTCAGGAGCATGATATCATTACATTTTACATTTTAGTCATTTAGCAGACGCTCTTATCCAGAGCAACTTACAGTAGTGAGCGCATACATCTTCATATATGTTTTCGTACTGGTCCCCCGTGGAAATTGAACCCACAACCCTGATGTTGCAAGTGCCATGCTCTACCAACTGAGCCACATGGGACAATGTGACAGTTAGGTCCAACAGATGAAAGTGGAAGATGCAATTTTTTTACAAAATGATGAAGGAAAAACAATAAGCAGTCTGTTGTTATAGCTTGATGTTCCTAAACATTCTTCCTACAGTCACTCACACCTTTCATTCTATGGGCATCGCACATAGGCCTAATGAGGCCAAACATTTCACAGAAGGACAAAAATAATGTCCAATATAAAGAAAAAAGGGAATGTCTGTTGACAGTTTTGCTGCTCCTGATATTTTAATAAAACATTGGTTATAGGCTACTGATTAGGCTACTGTGAGCCTCTGTTGGCAAAATCGATGCCATAACCAATTGTGTTACCGCTAAGACCAGCTTTTGGTGAGTCTTAAATATCACCACTAGCTCTGCTTGAATTTGGGATATTAGCGCAGGTTTTTAAGGACACGCCTAAAATATTTTCACCCCTCCTACCTCAGCGCAAGCGAGCTAATATAAGACAGGTAAATTACCAACCTGGCTGGCATTTACAAGTCGAAATTGCCTAAGATTGTGATTTTGACAGTAGCTTCACCTTAACGCTACCTGAAAATAGAGCCCTAGGCCTATCTATCACTTGCTTGGAAGTTAATTATTTGCTCCCATCTTTTCTCTCTGCCAGGAATCAGATGATGAAGATGGCATGCCCAAGAAGAAGTGGCCCACCGTGGATGCATCCTACTATGGAGGAAGAGGAGTCGGAGGAATCAAAAGAATGGAGGTGAGGTGGATCTAATCAGCTGTTGACATTAGAGTTACACCCAACAGAAATGTCAATCTTTATCCTCCATATTTTCCTCCCAAACACATGAAAGTTTGAACTTTATTCTAGACTCTACATCAACGCCTGTGTGTAGTATGTATTGTAGGCCCACTTCCACAGGTACAGTAGGTCATAACCCATCTTTGTTCCACTCCTACAGGTGCGCTGGGGAGGGAAGGGTTCAACTGAGGAGGGGGCTAAGCTGGAGAAGCCCAAGAACGCTGTGGTGAAAATGCCAGATCAGGAGTTTGAGCCGTACGAGCCCAAACCCAAGAAGGCCCACAACAGGAAGCCAGCCACAGACAGGAAGTGGTACACACCCATACAGGTAAAAACATTATCTTCTTCGCTTTCCTTTCTTTCTCAGACTAGTTTATACACTCTCTTCCTCTCTACCAATACATTTATAATAGGGTACTATGTGTAGTATGAAATAACATTTTGGCCATGAACACTTTACACAGCTAGCATTTTTGACAGTATTCACTATAGCCATGTCTCCCTCTCTTTGTCTGCAGGGTAAACTGGACGCCATTTGGGCCCTGTTTCGCCGTGGTTACGACCAGGTCTCTCTCATGCGGCCTCAGCCAGGAGATCATGTGAGTACTAAAGCCTTAAAAACACCATGGGAGCACCCTTCCCTAAAAAAATGCCCCTTCAGTGGCCGACACCTCACCTGTGCCAAGATTCATGATAAGGCAGAGCCCAAAACCTGCTTCAAATCAGCCGCTGCCATAAAAGGAAATAAAGAAGAGCTGTGGACGCGCTCCAGACAGATCCACTTTATGTTTTAAAAACCTCAACTTTAACTACTTTCTGATCGGGCACATGTTTTAACTGCCATGCTGACCCTTTGTATCAAAACGGAGATTGGAGTTTGGCTTGGAGTTGGTTGAAGGTAGTTTTTGCTCTAGATATGCACTTGGAGGGCTGGGCTATCTGAGAGACTCTTTATCCCATAGCCCTCCTCTCCTTTCTTTCCTTCTAGAGCTGCAGCTAACCTGCTGAGGTGGCACCTCTCCAGGTGGCACCTCTCCATTCAATAACCCTTTTTAACTGGAATTCCACATTTAGAGTGTTCTCTCTGCCAAAAATATGAACTGAGAAGAAGTGAAGTACTGCCAGATAAGCTCTCAACAACGACACAGAAAATCAGCTTTCGACCGCAAAGAGGAACAATGATGCTAATGATAATGATTGGCAACCTTCAAATTTCAAGGATTTCTCCCGGCCAAATAGATGTCGATACTTTGTTCAAAGTAACGATCGCCACATGCAAAAGGTTACATGACACATTGCTTATTCCAGAGGAAGTGTTTCCGTCTCTCCGTGTAATGGCGTCGCCTACTCAAGTAATTTGCAGTCTCTTACGAAGGAGAAGAAAAATTCCCAGGAAGGCCTACTGGTACTGGTGTAATCTTTTTTTTTCTCAGGGGGAATGGAAACGAATACAAGGCAGGCGAGCTCTTTCCTTTCCTGTGTGAAGTGTTATCTGAGGAGAACCATTAAACTGTCTTACTGACTTTTCAGCATGTCTGTCCCCTGGGCCACGCTAGCTGATAACACAGCTCTTATCACTCACTCCCTCTCTCTCTTTCTCACACACAGACACATACACACACAGGCCAAATATTGGCGTTCACAGCACATTCACAGGCCTTGTGTGTTTCATTGGACCAATTTGGCCAAGGTCAGATCTGGATTCCTGACAGACATATTTCAGTCTGTTGCTGGTGTTGCATTTTATCACCATGCAAATTGCTATGACAATGCCTGTATCCTGAATGGCACTATTTAGAGAAGCCTTGGCTGAAAGCCTTTACAGTACAATCCCTAGTTCCTTTGATTTCATCAGTCCACAATGGAGCTGCTATGTCCCATAGTCAATGCATCCTCTCTGAATACAACTCATGTAGCTATGTAACTCCATGACACTGAAAAACAGAAAGGCACCATCTGTTGCACTTTTCTTTCACATTCTCTTTAACCCTTCTGTCAGTCTTCTCCCTCCCTCCACACCCCTCCTCTTTCTCCATCTTCCTCTCCCACTCCACTATGGGATTCTCTGTGCTGGTTTTGGACACACAGACCCTCTCCCTGTTTGCTTAGTTTAGGTTGAGAGTGGTATAGTGCAGTATTGCGCGCACGTGTGTGTACTGTGGGCACAACCATACAGAGTATGATTATCATGCTTAGTCTGGTTTAGTCATCTCCCTCTCTCTCTCTGTGTATAGCCCTAGTCCTAACGCACTGGCTCACCGCTACATAGGACCTCAGCTATTTGTCTCCAACTACTCTCCAACTTCTCAGCGAGCTCCTACGTAAAACATCATGTGCTCGAGCAGATCGACTCCTGAGGTTAAATTATAGGCTTTGATTTAATGTCTCCCCTGACGGAGATTTGCACTGCGAAGGGCATGAGGTAATAGGCAGCGGAGACAACCGCGAGAGTCGTCTCAACCAGCGGGGCCACATGAAAACCCTACTGAAGCAGCCCAGGCTAGTCTGTTTTATGACATCTGGGTTTAATGGTAGACATTGGAAGAGGGAGGTTCGAAGGACAGTCTTTGTTTTGATTTTGTGTTGTACGTTTTTGGTTCAATGTCTCAAACCACACTGGATCAATGTTAAGTACTCGCGGAAAGGTAGCTGAAATTAACCTCTCAAAGGGTCTGCAGAGAATGTATACAGAGAATGAAAGGATATTAGATTTTATGTTCAACATCCCTCTCTTGTTCTCATCCTGTTATTGACTTGAAGGAATGTCAGAGACTTAGAGTGGATTTGAGGAGACAGAGTTTGGTTACCAGAGGATTTCGAGTTTTTTTCTCCTTGACGCATAATTTACAAGTCAGGACGAATGGAATGTGTCCTCGGTTGTTTTGGATTTTTTGCCAATGCGGCCACTCAGTGTGTGTGTGTTTGCAAGTGTTAAATGCCTCTACAGTCCTACAGTATACCCTTGTAAGTCCATGTCTGCCTATCTGCGTGGGGGAAGGAAAAAGGGTTACTGGGTTGTCTTTCCAGTAAGGGTATAAATCTGAGTTAGGCCATAAACCACGAGTTCACAGTAGGAGGCCACTGTGGTGGATGGTGGGGTTCAAACTATGGGGGGAAATACCTGTGGTGGATGGTGGGGGTTCAAACTATGGGGAGAAGTAGCTGTGGTGGATGGTGGGGGTTCAAACTATGGGGGGAAGTACCTGTGGTGGATGGTGGGGGTTCAAACTATGGGGGGAAGTACCTATGGTGGATGGTGGGGGTTCAAACTATGGGGGGAAGTAGCTGTGGTGGATGATGGGATTCAAACTATGGGGAGAAGTAGCTGTGGTGGATGGTGGAGTTCAAACCATTGGGGGGGGGGGGGGGGGGGGGGGGGGGGAGTAGCTGTGGTGTGGATGGTGGGGGTCAAACTATGTGGGGAAGTAGCTGTGGTGGATGGTGGGGTTCAAACTATGGGGGAAAGTAGATGTGGTGGATGGTGGGGTTCAAACTATGGGGGAAAGTAGATGTGGTGGATGGTGGGGGTTCAAACTATGGGGGGAAGTACCTGTGGTGGATGGTGGGGGTTCAAACTATGGGGAGAAGTAGCTGTGGTGGATGATGGGGTTCAAACTATGGGGGGAAGTAGCTGTGGTGGATGGTGGGGTTCAAACTATGGGGGGAAGTAGCTGTGGTGGATGGTGGGGTTCAAACTATGGGGAGAAGTAGCTGTGGTGGATGATGGGGTTCAAACTATGGGGAGAAGTAGCTGTGGTGGATGGTGGGGTTCAAACTATGGGGAGAAGTAGCTGTGGTGGATGGTGGGGTTCAAACTATGGAGAGAAGTAGCTGTGGTGGATGGTGGAGTTCAAACTATGGGGGGGGGGGGGGAGTAGCTGTGTTGTGGATGGTGGGGGTCAAACTATGTGGGGAAGTAGCTGTGGTGGATGGTGGGGTTCAAACTATGGGGGGAAGTAGATGTGGTGGATTGTGGGGTTCAAACTATGGGGAGAAGTAGCTGTGGTAGATGGTGGGGTTCAAACTATGGGGAGAAGTAGCTGTGGTGGATGGTGGGGGTTCACACTATGGGGAGAAGCAGCTGTGGTGGATGGAGGGGTTCAAACTATGGGGGGAAGTAGCTGTGGTGGATGGTGGGGGTTCACGCTATGGGGGGAAGTAGATGTGGTGGATGGTGGGGTTCAAACTATGGGGGGAAGTAGCTGTGGTGGATGGTGGGGTTCAAAAAATGGGGAGAAGTAGCTGTGGTGGATGGTGGGGTTCAAACTATGGGGAGAAGTAGCTGTGGTGGATGGTGGGGGTTCAAACTATGGGGAGAAGTAGCTGTGGTGGATGGTGGGGTTCAAACTATGGGGAGAAGTAGCTGTGGTGGATGGTGGTGGTTCAAACTATGGGGGGAAGTAGCTGTGGTGGATGGTGGTGTTCAAACTATGGGGGGAAGTAGCTGTGGTGGATGGTGGGGGTTCAAACTATGGGGAGAAGTAGCTGTGGTGGATGGTGGGGGTTCAAACTATGGGGAGAAGTAGCTGTGGTGGATGGTGGGGTTCAAACTATGGGGAGAAGTAGCTGTGGTGGATGATGGGGTTCAAACTATGGGGAGAAGTAGCTGTGGTGGATGGTGGGGTTCAAACTATGGGGAGAAGTAGCTGTGGTGGATGATGGGGTTCAAACTATGGGGAGAAGTAGCTGTGGTGGATGGTGGGGTTCAATCTATGGGGGGAAGTAGCTGTGGTGGATGGTAGGGTTCAAACTATGGGGCGAAGTAGCTGTGGTGGATGAGAATATAACTTATTTGCCTCAAGAACTCAGATCTCCCCCCTACCAATCCCCTGTCTTTCTCTCTCCCCCCCCTTTCTCTACTTTTCTCTCTCTCATTCTCCATATGGTGCTATAAACAACATGGAGTTTTTGGAAAGCAGCCAGTTTTCATTTGTAACAGTACATAGGAACAGAACATTCGACTGGGAAGAGGGGAGTCACAGCAGGGGCTGATGGGTAACCGTCCACCCAGCTGGCCCTGGTTGGAACAGACAGAAAGGGTAGTGACCGTCCCATGACCATGGGGTCAGCTTGGGTCAGAGGCGTTAGCCTAGACGGGAGTAAGACACGTGTACTGTACGTGGGAGGGGGGCTGGATCATGTCAGGAGGGAGGTAAAATGTAACCTGAGTCTTTACTGTAGCTTAATGGGGTCCTGTATACCTCCTGACTTTTAGGACATTGATCACCATGTAATCTGATGTTACTGTCTCTTTCCCCCAGGGTCGATGCATCAACTTCACCCGGGTGAAGGACGAGGCAGCAGCAGCAGCCGCCAAGGCACCTCCCCGGGCCCATAGCCCCCCTCCTCCTGCTTCGGACTACCGTCCCCTGATCAGCCCCACTACAGCGCCGCCACCACAGACCAGCCCGCCCCCACGAGCGCCGCCTGTCAGCCAGTTACCCCCGGGGCCACCCCCCTCCCGCACCCCCCCAGGGCCCCCCTGCCCCCCTCCCACACGCCCCCCACCCTGCCCCAACAACAGACCATGAGAGCAAATTAGGGACCCCACTCCAATAAAGCAATAGTCCACATTGCCAAAGATGCTCCCTCAACCAAAAATAAACATAGTATTTATTGGAGTTGGGGTGAAATTAGCAGGAGACATTATGGTTTGTTGCTGGACAGCAAAATATGTAGTCATAGAAAGAAACATACTGCAATGGATGAAATTATTTTATCAACTACTGAGTATCCTATGATGATTAGTGGCAAGGTGACAGTAGAGTAAGACTGTGTGAATTTGTGTAACTTTAGTCATCTCTGAGTCGATTTACTTTCAACCACAAGGATTGGATTTTGCTATCAAACCAAGCTAGATGATGTAGAATTTGGAGCTTTTTGCATCTCTCTTTTGTACATTTTGACATGTATCTTTTTACATCTCTCTTTTGGAAATTGGAAGATTTGAAAGGGGTCATTTTATAGGGGGTAAACAAAACATGGCACTGGTTTGATTAAGTTTAATATTTGTTTCTCATGTCCAAATAAATTTACACAGACTGAGAAAGCCAGATTTAGTCTATGTGGGTTAGTCCATATTCCGTTTGAGGAACCCATTTTAATTACTCCCATTTGGTAGTGTTGCCGGAAGCCATAAGTGGATAAGCATAAGTGGACACATATGGACTGAACACGTAAGATTTCTGCTTATACAGTATACTCTCTCAGGATAGGAGCTCATGCTGTGCCAAAAATGAGGCACACAAACACCTTGATATTTTTTTTTACATCCCCTGATTGAGTTAGTTGAGAATCATACGTAGGCAGAGCGTAAGAGATGTGTTAGCATAAACATTTTGCATTTTTAAACACTTTGTTGGTGGTTAACCCAGGTTTATCTAAGTTGATATCGGTATTTGTGCACATTGAATGCAGTTCAGATATAGCATACATTTCTTTTAATTTTTAATCACTTTTGAACCATGAACCTCTCAAACAAAACAGCTAAAGTCAGGTCATTGGCTCTCATCAAGTTTTTACAGTCCCAAAACTGTACTTTACTTTTATACATTGTATTGTTTACCTTTTCTTTTTTTATTGAATCACAATCACATTGCAACTGCAGGGCAGTTCACCGCATCTCTAATTTATTAACCCCAAAGACCTAGAGGAGCGTACTTGAATACGACAAAGGTGTCTGCTGACAAAGACGGACACTGTGCACGTAAACAAACAACTATTCACGCAACTTCATATGGCAGTGTTTCTCAACCCCATTGGTCTATAGTCCGGCACTAGGTCATGGAATATTGCCTTCCTAAGTGCAACTGTCCTGTATCAAAAGGCACATGAAATTTCAGTGATTTGTCCATGAACCAACACTGATTGAATCAAGCCCTCAAAGGAGGAAGACCATAGCATGCCAGTCCTTGGTACAGACAGAGGTTGAGGAATACTATTATATGCTTATCACACTCAGTACCTTTCAGAATTTTTCTACTTAGATTTTCCTACTCTCTTTGTATAATGTACTTCATTCGATTATGTCCTATAATACCATTGAGTTACTATATTCCGTTGATTTTTTGTAGCACTGCTGAAAGCTGTTCAGGATGATGATGATTAAGAGAGGTGCATGCATTTAGTTTGTTTTTATCGGTACGACACAAATAAAGCTCGATGGCACCCAAGTGTAATAATGTACAACTTCTGCTTTTTGACAATGATGAACATCCTCCATTTGTATGACTGGATTGATGGCTCTTTATTTGAACATCACCCCACTCAAGCAATGGCATGGTAAGAGGAGTGAGCAACAACGTTATATGGAACTCATTGTTATGTAGTCCCTTGTGCGTTTTTATCTCTATGCTTCAGAATGATCATCAGGACCATTGTGGAGCTGTGTTCTCCTGAGAAAAAGCTCTGAGACGCTAAACCAGGGGTGTCAAACTCATTTTGCCCCTGGGACCGCATTCGGTCTTCAACGAGGTCCGGAGGGCCGCACTGAAAATGTTTTATATATCCTTGCAGTTAAAATTGGCAAAAAATTGTCCTCTATCCATAGTTTTTAGAATTTTCTATGCTCCCTGTCTGTATAGCTTTCATTTCAGTGATTATTAGCACGCTGCTCCATTATAATTTCAACACTATTTCAATTTTGTTTTAGTGATTTTAAAGTATAAAATGGCGCGCTGGCCATATTTTTGACACCCCTGCGCTAAATGTTAACCATTGTTTTTCATGTAATAATGGTAGTACTGAAACAAATATGGAAAGATGTATTAAGATTATCTTTTTTTACATGTTTTCTTTTTACAGTATTAATAAAGGTTGACATCCAAGCTTTTATATGAAACTAATGGGTTGTTTTTGTGTGTGTGTGTGTGTGTGTGTGTGTGTGTGTCTGGGGAGTGGGGTCAGCGGTGAGCTCCTCGGTGGTCTTCAGCAGCCTGTCTATGATAGGGTGGAAGGGAGAGCTGTCCACCTGGGCTAGGGTCTGTAGGGTGGCTGTGGCTGCCCTCCTCACCTCCCGGACAGGGGAGCTCAGACAGGCCAGCAGGGACAGCACCACTATGGAGGGAAAACAGATTTAGAAACTTTGTTACTAATACACAATTAATTCTCTATCCATTTGTTTTAATAATGTATTCTACTGAAGGGATTGTGAACACATATTTTATTACCATATAATTAGTAATTAGAATATATTATTTAATAGGATCTCTGTTTATTACACTGTCACGAAAATCATAATGCACCACAAGACTGTAAGTAGGCACAGTTATTATCTCAACCCAGACAAATGACACACCTAGGGTAATATTCAGACTGTGCCAAACTCTATTTTTAAATACAATTCAATGCAGCAAGCCTTTATATTATGGGAATTATGAGGGCTCTGTGTTGTAAAAGGAGCTCTCACTGACCCCTTTTTCACATGTTCGAGTTTCCTCTTTGCTGCTCCACCCATTACATTTGGATAGGAGTCAACACAAACACACGCACAAGTGCACGAACACACATTCACACACTTTCAGCAGCTTCTGTATGATCCACTTTGCCATTTAGATAACCATGATATGTAATTGTGGTCACTCAGTCTGGTCTCATAGACTAGACATAACATAGTAAATGTAAATCCGGGACACTCAAATTAGTATGATATGTTACATTTGGTATGGTTACATAAGACAGATGTTTACTTAAGGCAAACACAAAAGTAGGGTGGTTGGTCATGATGGATGTGTGGGTGGGTGTTAATGCAAACTTCTTGCAACCCAAAGGTTGCGAGTTCAAATCTTATCACTGACTACTTATTATATTTTAGCTACTTTGCAACTACTTAGCATGTTAGCTAACCCTTCCCCTAACCATAACCCTTATAGCTAACTCTTCCCATAAACCTAACCTTAACCCTTTAACCTAACTCCTAAACTTAACCCTAACCCCTAGCCTAACCCTAACCCCTAGCTAATGTTAGCCACTTAACCACTTGGCTAGAATTCATAACATATACGTTTTGCAAATTCGTAACATATAATACGAATTGTAATTTGTAACATATCATACAAAATGGGCGATGGACATCCACAAATTAATACATACCATACAAAACGTAACATATCATACTAACTGGAGTGTCTTCGGAATTAAGTACAGAATAATATGAAATGCTCTGAGACCAGGTTGCAGCCCTTCACAATAATAAGACAATGAGCTCATTTTATCCCTACCATTGTGTCACTGAGTTGTCATAATGCTTCAGCAAATATACATTATCCCAGGGGCGTTGGAAGAGACAATGTAAATAACCTAATTGATGTCCCTCTTACTGCCCTGAATGCCTCTGCTGATCCTACAGCTACTGTATACAGTAATCATGTGCCAATGAACCAGAGTGATACTGTTAGCACTGAGGCAGTGTGCCCTAGTAGGAAGTCCACAATGTGCAGCTCACCCTGCACTAACATAAATAACATGAGCATGTCTACCTCTGTTAAGCTTCCCAGTAAAGCAATAAAAACAATCAAGCATCCCAGAAAAGTGCTAAAAATAGCCCACGCTGACATATGTAGCTTAAGAAACAAGGTTCATGAAATCAATAACAGTAACAGATGACATTCATATTCTGACAATCTCTGAAACTCACTTAGATAACACCTTTGATGATACAGTGGTAGCAATACATGTTTATAAGATCTACAGAAAATACAGAAATGCCCAAGGTGGAGGTGTGGCCGTTTATTATCAGAACCACATTCCTGTAAAGCTTAGAGAGGATCTCATGTTTAATACTGTTGAATTAATATGGATACAGGTTCATCTGCCTCACCTAAAGCCCATTCTGGTGGTAAGCTGCTATAGACCACCAAGTGCTAACAGTTAGTATCTGGATAACGTGTGAAATGCTTGATAACATATATGTGATATCAACAGAGAGATATGTTTTCTGTGTGATTTAAATATTGACTGGCTTTCATCAGGCTGCCAACTCAAGAGAACGCTTGAAAATGTAACTAGTGCCTGCAACCTGGTTCAGGTCATCAGTCAACCTACCAGGGTAGTTACAAACAGCACAGGAATGATATCATCAACATGTATTGATCACATCTTTACTAATGCTGCAGAAATGTGCTTTAAAGCAGTATACAAATCCATCGGATGTAGTGATCACAATATAGGAGCCATATCTAGGAAAACCAAAGTTCCAAAGGCTGGGCCTAATATACAGTCGTGGTCAAAAGTCTTGAGAATGACACAAATATTAATTTTCACAAAGTCTGCTGCCTCAGTTTTTATGATGACAATTTGCATATACTCCAGAATGTTATGAAGAGTGATCAGATGAATTGCAATTAATTGCAAAGTCCCTCTTTGCCATGAAAATGAACTTAATCCCCAAAAAACATTTCCACTGCATTTCAGCCCTGCCACAAAAGGACCAGCTAACGTCATGTCAGTGATTCTCTTGTTAACACAGGTGAGAGTGTTGACGAGGACAAGGCTGGAGATCACTCTGTCATGCTGATTGAGTTAGAATAACAGA